TCAACCATGGAGTCAAGTTGGAAGTTGAATGATCCTCCTTTTTTTTCTCTGATTCAGAATCGCCTCGAGCCTCTGTGGGACAGATTAGCTCCTTAGGCCAATGAATCAAAACATTCAGATCTAATCTCCTAAGGTGTCAATCGGAACAGATCGGGGACCACATGAAAAGTAATTGAGACCAAGTGTGTTGAGATCCTCACGAGGATCTAATGTAGTGGTATCCAAACCGCGGCCCAGTTGCCACTTTCTTGCGGCCTAGTGAGATCCTGTAAGAAATCAAAATAAAATTCCCACAAAATTTCATTATTTCCCGTGATTCTAGCTCTAGCGAAATCAGGCAAGTCTGACCTTGCACCGAGATTGCGGTATCAGGTTGCTGCTGGGCGGAACGGGAAGGGAGGAGTAAAACCATATCTTTCTGCTTATAATGAGTGAGTTCAGAGTGCCTGTCTAAATCTATTTTTTTTAATGTTTTTCATTTATGGATCTCAATCCTGTGCGTGCTCCTAATTACTGCAGCATACATTTTCGCCACTAACATCGCTGGCGCGAATTCAAAGAAGCGGGGATATAAGGACGAAAAACGAGTGTTTCAGGAGTGTTGGGAAGAAGAAATTGTCTTTATTCGCGGAAAAAAAGGAAATGATCTGTATCCAATGTGCGAAGAAACCACCGGTGTCTTGAAGTGCTTTAATTTGGATCGGCACCACTCAATGAAGTATGCGCCATTCACTCGTGATTTTCGCCGTGGCGTCAGAAATGTGCAAGGAAAAAACTCAATTCCTTAATACTATAATGGACTATAATGGACTAAATGGGCTATAAACCACTCGTGCCAGTAATGGGTCTAAGCAACACGGTAGGTGTCCCTTAGACCTACTAAAGGACCATCAAGCGTTGTCCCACCCTGAGGGTCTGTGATTCGGATGTGGAGCCTGTGCCAAACGGACAACTCCCTCCTCTTTGTGTATCGTAATACGTCCTTTGTCATTTCTGTCCGCCACTTGTTCTGTCTTTAAAAAAAACATCCTGGTCATAATTGCTGGGAGTGCCAAGGCGCAGATGGAGACTTGGCTTGTTGCATGAGCGAGGACGTTAAAGCAGATGAGGGAGTCGGTGACGAGGTTAATGAATGGGGTCCTGTTCTATTCATACGCTTCAGATGTAAGCGCGGGCATTATCGTGCAATCCCCCCTCGACAAAAGGCCCGGTCGTTCGTTCTTGATTGACTTGATAGGGAGTCATCATATTTTCCGTACTACTTCGTCACCTCAGTTCAATAAGGTTCTATCTGACATTTTCTTGAAAAATGAGATAATGGCATCCAAATAGCCCTCATGGAGAGCAGATTCAGGAGATATATGGATTTTGTGTGAATTACTTCCAGAAAGGCTAGAATTAACGATTCTTCAAGGTTCTATATGCCTGGGGCTCAAACATTCAGTACAACAAGGTCCCATGATCATATACAGTGCCAGCAAATCAAATCCACTGAGAGCCCGATAACAATCTCAAATTCAGGATTTTACCTGATCTTGTGTGCGGAGGGCGTTGCGTCGTAATTGACAGTTTCAATCTGGCAACACCGCTGGAGTTCTGTTCATCCTGCAGAAACATTGGGATTTGCATAGGGATGGGGAGAAGGTATGAATCAGAAGGGGAACACGTCCTCGTCCCCTTCATCCCCATCATCCTCCTTCCCTTGTGAGCAACAACTCCCTGAAAGGAGAAGACGCAGACCAGATGGGAAATGGCACATTGTGTACAAACATAGGACGAGCTTCGATCGCGTCCCAAAGACTTTCTTCCCACGCACTCATTCGGTCGTGCATTTTCACTTGTGAATGGCAGTAGATTTACTGATGGGGCTTCCAAATTGATACCCCGAAGCGCCATTCCTTGGTTACGTATCCAGAAGACAACTCCATCGGCGTCATTAACGGTAGGTTTGACTATTTTCCTCCATTGTTCCTGGGATGGATCCTTCCAATTAATTTAATAACGTAATAACCTGGAAATATTTTATTGCTCGAAGTATTCAATAGAATGGAAGACTGACCCCGCATTTGTCGCATTCAGTTTTCCAGTCCCATTGTCATTCCAACCACCCAGTCCTATAGATGAGTAATACGTTTGATTTCCTACAGTGACTAGCTTTAAGTTGAGACTTCATGCCTTCGTGGACAAAAAAGGGAGTAGAGTAGCTGTAGAAGAATAGGCTATAGGAACTATGCTCCCAAAATTTTTAATTATCTCTAAGAGGAATCGGCCTATCGTATGATAAATTAGGAACGCTTGACCTCGACACGGGACGTCATAATGAGCGGTGACGCCTTTTGACGTCCCTACAAAACCTTGAACCTTAACAAAGGTCACAAAGCAACGGCATCGATACCACTGCATTCAAAATGAAGTTCCACCTGAAATGCTCCCAAAACAGCATAATGGAAGCGGATGAAGACGAGATCATGAATGATGGCATCGTTTGCCAATTTTGATACCATTAAAAACGCTGATATAATGGGTATTTCGATAATGATCACGACAATGAGGTCACCCGGAACGATCGGAGGTGCTAGATCTCTTGCAAAATGTGGAAAACCCAATGAGAAGCAGGTTCAATTACAAAATTCGAGCAGTGATTGCTCTGACAACGTAATTATCGTGAGCATTTTTAGACCCATGGAGAGTTGCATGCAAACAGCCATGAACTTACTCATTTTGACCTCATTAACTCTCATGAATTAAAGCTGACAGCAACGCAAGGGGTTGGAATTCATGTCCTATGTGGAGGGTGTTGGTAATTGTACACGATGGGTCGGATTATGAAAAGAATAAAGGCATCCTGCAATTTTAGCTTCATTCACGTGAAATGCTGACAACACTCGAAAGCGACGCGCGTTTTGGAGATCGGCTTCCTCTAATCTAGGCTCATCGGTTTGGCATTTGACAAATATATTTGTTTTCATGAAACCTTATCAAAATCCAATTAAGGGGTGGAACTTGTATATCTTACCCCACCGAGTAAGATATACAAGTTCCACCCATCCGGGTGAGACTCTTGGAGGAATAAATGGGCAAAACATTTCCATACCAAGAAGTTTCTGAGTAGAGGTACGACATTGTGCAAGTTTAATTCGAATGTCCTGCAAATGTCGAAAACTTTCATCCCAACTGCATACAGCAAGACTGAATTTAGGGCAATACATCAGAAAATTAATTTATTTCGGAAAAAACCTGACTACAAAACTGAGCCACCCATGCACTCATAAATGCTCGGTGATCGTCTTTGCAAACAATGACGAGGAAGAAGAAACAGCAGAACAACCCTCTCAGTGTCACACATTTTGCATTCCTCTTCCCCCACAGCCAGTCGTCGACATCAAGAGAGGATTCCACAATGGCTCATTGCACTACAGTGTTGCTGCCTCTCCTGTGTCTCCTCTCCTGTGTTTCCGCATATTGGAGAAGCAGTGAGTTCAGTAATTATCGTTACTTGGTCTTACAAAATATACACCACCCGAAAAACCTAAAGAATACATTTGGATGGAATATATTTTATTTAATATCTCGTCTGCACCAAAGGCTCCCAAAACAATCGACTCCAGCAGTTCTTGAGTTCCTCTAAGCCAAAGGGTGTACGAGGGTAGTTTGACAATGAGTGAGAATCTCAAACACGCGCTAAAGTGCGGCAAGGTGGCTGCTGGCTCCTGGGGGCACCAAGAACAGTGACCACCGGCAGAAAACGTGGCCGCCGTCCAACGACACTCCGGTTAGTTTTCGAATGACATACGACCACAACAAAATTGACTGATCCAGCGCGCGACCATACTGTATAGTAAAGCATTGAACTTGTACACAATGATGAGCTCTTCATGAATCTACGTCACATTCTTGTCCTTCCGCAACAAATATCGGATCACTGCACGTTGCCCAACAACAAGATTTTCGTCTATTTTCCGAGGATTGTTTCATTTCGAGTACTATATCTCCTGATAGGAATAAGCTACCGTGCTGGAACTTCGCCCGCAGCCATCTGAGATGCAAGGCTGCTTCGTCATAGGAGTCACCTTGCCGCACTTTAGCGCGTACTTGAGATTCTTACTCATTGCCAAACTACCTTCGTATATGCCACTGCATTCACAAAGGTTAAAACATTGAAATACTTGCAGGTCGTATCCTGGGTTGGAAAAGGTTGACCGCAAGAGCTAGTCTCCAACGACCATGCAACCAACAAATAATGACGCCTCACTAACTGCTTGAATGGGCAACTGAGAGTATCCCTGTAATTTTCTTCAAGTATTGCAGATTAGCAGAGTGACAAAGTTCCTAGAATACGGATTTGCGCTATCGCGCACGATTCCTGGAACGGAAAAACATCATTCTTTCATTCCATTGACGAAGGAAAAAGTCACTACCCAAGCGTATTCCTTCTCATCTGTTTGAAAAGAAAAGAAAGTCACTGTCCTGCGAGATGATCTTGCAACTGGGTTATTCCACGCCAATTATTGAGATATGGCTATTTCACTGATGCAACAGTACCAAAATCTCCCTTGACGAGACAGTGTGACCGCTGTCAGAGACCAATATGTGCACTTGTCCCTCCAATAAACCAAACTTGTAATACTTCATCAAATGGCGCATATTGTGCTCTTTCTAGCGATCCCAAAATCGAGACAGGCACTCAAAGTATTATTAATAGTATGGCTGCTTGACTGATGCAGTAGTACGAAAAACTTCCCTTGACGGAACAGTTTGACTAGTGTCAGCGACAGACATCTACAGCTCCCCCTCCAGGAAACCAGACTTGTAATATTTCATTGAAATGCGCATATCATTTCCTTTCTAACGATACCAAATATGAGATTGACTATCAAAGGATCAATGAGATATGACTATTTGACAGTAGTAGTAGTACCGATGTTTCACTTAATGGAACAGCTGGACTGGTTTCAGCGACCGACGGTCCTTCATGGAATCTCTCTTAATGTGTATCTTCCATGGGTCACAACAAAACTTCTGGCGGTCGGCATAGCGCAAAATGACACCAGAATGAAGCTTCTATCTTAATTCGAAGAAAATTCATTGCAGAAAAAGTTTCACAATTCCTGTAAGTATGGGCACAGGGAGATAAAAATTGCATATATCAGGAGATTGGTGGGAGATATAAAAAATTGGCAGAAATTGGTTTCTTTAAATCGATTCCATGTATGGCTATTTTCGTCCAATTCGGTACTAGTCGAGCTTACGGTCTGGTTGAATTGGCGTGGAATGACCCAACTGGAAATCTTCAAACATGAATTACGGAGTGTCCTTCAACTCTATCCAGTTTTATTTTGACATACTTTTTTTTAAACGAGCTCTAGTCATTTAAGTGTCACTGGGTATTTTTTTTATTTTTCACATTAATATGGAAGTTTTCATATACCTGCTATCACTCTGTTGTTTAAAACTCCAGATCCCATGGTAGTCCCAACGATAAAATTTTTCGCAAGCATGAGGAGGTAATTTAGAATATTATGGTAATTTTCTAAAGGAAATGAAAATGACTTCTTTCTGGGATTAATGGTCAAATGTCAGACCCTTTGACTTTTATTTTCGCTGAAAGTCCCTGAGTCACCTATCATTAAAACGGGCACGAGGAGCCATTGAAAAGACATCAATATCAGCTTTCTACGTTGATTAGAAAAAAACTCATGAGCACTTAACTGGTGATGACTTCACACAAAATTGGTCACTTTTTGCTACTTTCAAATTGGTACATCTCTGAAAGCGCTGCATTTAGAGAGCTGCTATTTGGCACGTGATGGCACGCCTCAATAGCCCCTAGCAGTTCAGAAAATTGCATGGAAATCAAAGGCAATCAGGTAAATGGCTGTGTTTATTTGACGTGCAAGATGTAGGAATTTGTTCTTAAGTTTAGTCATGAGGCGCACGGCATTCCACTTGGGAGCTTTAGATTCTTGCCAAGAAATAGGAATACTTGATGATCACCTTGTGCGTGTTTTAGCCGCTATCCCTTCCAGTTGCGATGCAAATGATCAGCAAATGAATGTATTTGAATGAATGAATGTCACCAATTGCCTAAAATTGGCTCAGAGCTACCCAATGTGGTGCATTGACCAATATTGACCAAGGGACCAAGATGACGCAGAACTATTCCGAATTATACATAATGAATCCAGAGATAAAATGACGACCTGTGACATTCAGCGCACGCGGTGTCCCATTACGCTTTTTGAGTATAATATAATTGAGTTTTAGTACAAGATGAAACCTTTTTTAGATTCTTGCGAACTGCGCAACACTGAGCTTCAATGTAAGTCCTATAAATATTTTCGGAAGGTTTACCATGGGAATAACTGGAATAGCTTACGAATGACCTTCCCCTTAGAGAAAAGTGCAACCTGAATATTACTGTGGATATTATGTCGTTTATCGTTTGTCAATTATAGCCCCGAACCCCCCAAAACCACCGAGATACTTGAAAGCCAAATATCTGAGCCAGACGAGTTTGATGATCCGGTGGGCAGCAGCAGAACAAGAGCTTCTCAGAAGCGGGTCCTATCGCTACCATCCTCATGTGAAAGAAAATGAGCGGGTGACGGTGAGGATCTCCATATTCTATTGGGTGGCTCATAAGAAGCCCCATTTCGGTTAATCATCACAACAATAATGAGTAGAAACTATTAAAGCACAATGGATTTGAAGACATGAAATATTATCCTAATTCAGCAGAAATTTAAAAATTTTCTCTCATTTTTTTTCCCCGCAGATGGCGAAGTTGACTGAAATTGATACTTGGTCCCATTGGTAATCCTTTAAATTACCGTACATTTGAATTTTCTTACCTTGCAGTTCTCATATATTCTGTCTTTCTTCCCCTCCCCTCCTCTTTATCTCTCTAGATAGGTCTCTGGAAATTATTGCTCCGATTTCCCGAAACAACATAATCTCGCGTGTGTGTCAGGATTTAACGGCCATATTTCTGACTAAGTGAACTATGCTTCTTTCTTTACCAATCGATGGCTTTCCATTTTTATCGTATCTCAGCCCATAGGCCTACTGTCGCGATATTGCATAATACGTTAAGGTTCTTCGGGTAGTTAAAAATCGACCCCCTCGATACAAATTGCGCTGGTGATGGTTGTAGGGGACCTCGTGAAAGGACCTACGAGCCGATTGTTGCCTCTATCCGTTGACGCACGCGACAATGATTTCAATTCGAACGTCACGATTTCCATGCCTCTATTTAAAAGTCTACATCTTGGTTTTCATTTGGAAATTGCAGTGTAAGTTTTCTATTTTTCGTGGAAATAAATTTAAAATGTTTAAAATTGGGATGATTAGGAAAAGGAAGTACTTTTACGTCTACCGTCGTCTGATGGTATTTAGGGCTGAACGTAAAAATACGTCCATCGGATCGCAAGTCAGCTTGAATCCTCATTTCATGTTCGATTGTCCTCGTCTTTGGATTTCGTTGTTTTGGTGTTTCTGGGTAAAACTGTGGATTCGACGCTTCAAACGGCCCTCTACCAGCAAATTTGACAAATACATATGACTAAAAATGGGTCGAAGGTGGCATTCCGACCCCTTATTGTACTTCTGTCCAGACCCCATATCATAATTATTCACAGATGTTGAATGACAGAAAGTCAATGATTCTCCTCTACAAGAAGCATGCCATAAATCCTTTGCAGCAGATGACCTCCCCCCCATGGGGGGGGGGAAGTAAACTGACTTTGTGGCCATAAATATACGTGCAGCCAAAGAAATCAATCTTTCACGACGCTATTCCTCAAATCTTCTGTCCTCAAGCAAGTTGATCTGCTGCCGAATAGAGAAATGTGGACGCAGTTATTAAAAGGGGGCAGAAGTTGATCAATTCCACTTTTGCGAACATCATATCCTGTACATATAACCTACAGTGACACTCATCTGATAAAAATCGTGACTCTTTCAGCCGTTGACTGTCTACTGCCTCCACTAGGACAATTTTTGACAATGCACAAGTGGGAGAATTCCCTCAAACTCCTCTGTTTCCAAGAGGAACGGCCACATCTCTTGCTCCCAAAGGCAAAAGTTAGGCCCAGGAGCCAGTAGACTGGCGAAGAGAGGACAAATGTATGAGGGAGAAATGTGGGCATGGGAGGGAATGCTATAACAATCAAGGGAATAGAAGAGAGTGGTAGGGAGGGGGTCCAACAGGGAGGAGCTGCGCGCTTGCACTTGATTGCTCAACTCCTTCTTGGTGTGACTTTTTTGGCGACGAGTGTATTTGAAATGTGGATACAACTTGCTAACACTTTCAGACCCATACCTGTCATATGACGTCCTACTCACATCGAATTCAAATTGTCAGGTTTTAAAGTGTTAACGCTTATTCATCATTCAAATGCCACAAAACGAATTAAAACATTTGCAGTGAGTGAACCATAGTGCATCGTTGAAAACTGTCCGTTTTTTTGCCCATCCTGGCTATTTTCATAGGTGCTAGTCACATGTGGCCTCTTTCAAGGAAAACCGTAATGTCATATGACACCTTAATTCACTTACTCACCAAAAACATCATTCCTAATCTGTGACTTATTGAATGCCCATGAAATACAACCGTATAATGGAAAAACAAATGAAAATGTGGAGGGAGTTTAACTGCGTAACATTTGAGTAAAGGAAAACTTAATGTGAAAAGCCAGAAACAAGTGAGGGGATGAGCAAGGAATGAATTGCTATCTGAATAAAACATAAAGCATATCTGAATAAAGCCTGAAGTATCCGCTCCACGTTTTCTTTAAGGTACTAAGGGAAGATGAAAATCGATCCCCCTAGAATCAAATTCTGGCTTATAATTATTGTAGAGAACACCAAAGGAGGGCCTTGGAGCCACTTTTTGGCACTCTCAGGTCAAGCGCCTGACCGTGGCGAATGGTCAAAGGTCACGATTTGCATGCCTCTCTTCGAAAATCTGTATCTCCCCAACCCTCGGTCGCAGAAACGTCACATTTGCGCCATTCTCCTCGCCACAGAACATTTTAAATGATGAGCTCCAAAAGGTGCGCATCTCTCTGCTCCCCGAGACGCCGTGGCGTCATTTGTGAAAATTCGCGTTTCGCGAATTCGCTTCTTCCCTCGCTCATTCTCCGAAGAAACATTGGATCGTAAAAAGCATGCTCCAGTTTTTAGTGATCGTCCCCATTCGTCTTCGTGTCAAAGGGCGCGATGATTCAACGAACCCTTTTCCCTGGAAGTTCGAAGATATAGGGTAAAAGACCCAGTGATAGACCTGTCCCGTGATGGGCCACAGCACATAAAAATTCCAATAACTAAGCTTCCATAGCAAGCCTTCCCATGTTGTGACATATGCTAGCAGCATTCAAACACGTAGACACTTTAGAGGTGTTCATGGAACAAATGCCTAGTTTTTGGAATTTAACTGCTAAGTGGCCCATCACTAAGTACCCGCCATTAACAGGCCCATTGTTGGGTCTTTTACCCTACCTCAAAATCTCTCTATTTTTGCATAGTGCCTCACATCCATGGTCATTTATCGAGAACGAGATTGAAATTCAAATTTTCAACAGACAGAATTGTGGAGAAGCCTCTTGAGCATCTTCAGGTCCATTTTCAGACAAATCTGTTCACCCCCCTCAGATCCTTAGGGATTTTACTAAACCTAGGTTTGACATTTTCCGGCATGTCAATTATATTATGTGTTCTTTCTCTTCTCTGGGCCTTAAAATTCCAATATAACTTACTGTAAAATGTAGGGATATGTATAAGGATGTGATTGAAACCAAATTTGTGAAATTCATTCCAGTCATTAGGAGATAGCAATATTTTAAACAGAATCGGTAGAAAAATTCACGCTGCCCCAACTGGATGTTCCCAGTTGCGGATTTCCCCCGCTCACTTCCCCCCCTCGCACATACTGTACTCCTTCCTCATCCCCCCCCCCTCTCCCCTTCCCCTCCCCTGAGTCTCCTGCCAGGACGTGCATGGCACCCGCCTTCTCGTCTCCTGTTTTTGTTTTTGTTTTTGTGCATTAATTTTTTTTGGAGGTGACCTTTGACATGACCACGATGACCCTTCATATTTATTTTGAACCAAAATTGCTGTGTGATATATCATTCGAAAGGCCTGAATTTTCCCCGTTCAAAATTTTTTTATATAGCAAAACTGTTGACATTTGATCCTGCTGTGGTCAATCCAAATGGAGAGAGCACTGGCGCCATCTCTGTACAGTCTAGATAACTGCCATCGTGCGGCACCGATTTCCTACGCTTGACTTCTCATCAAAGCTCAGACTTCTTAGTTGCACTGAGAAGTGTTTGTCGTTCTCATCACCCGCGGGAATATTGTAATATCGGCTATCGGCATTAGCACAAGTTTTATTTTGGTTTTTGCTGTCTTTTTCTCAGGGAACAGATAACGAGAAAGGAATAAAAGATCCCTGACAACATGTGAGACTAGGCCAGCCTGAATGTTATACTCGTACATTGACCCATTGTAGGCTTGGGTGCCACGGATGTTCTATTCATTCTTCCCAACAACGTTATGTCAACATTGACAAAAGTTGAAACGTTGAGACAGTATTGAAGGAAAGAGTTGCATTATTCAAGTACAACGCTCCATTTCTGATTCAGTTAAGGAAGTGACTCGGATGGACCCTTCCGTGATATAATTTCGCTCATTAGAGTAGTTTCAAGTTTTAATCAGTATTAGCGCGCGCATAGGCTCAGAAAAAGGAGGAGATAATGCCCACGCCGTGATGAGTGACATAATTGGCATAACGTGACACATGATCCTATTTTCAACGTTGTAATGTTTCAACGTTTCAACATTGCGGCAAAATTGGATCCAATTTTTTACACATCGTTGTGGAAACGTTGCTAAGTGTTGCGCGTATGTTGTGCATGTTCATGTTTGCCTGAGTGCGTATTAGTTTTGTCTCTCTGGGCATTTACGGACGTATTAGCATTTTTTAACCTAAATTTGCAAGTGCTTTTCCTGAGGTAAATATTATCTTTGTCATGCCACAAAAATGTCGACAGAAACATTGAGACTGCACATGGATTCGCGATGTGGTTTAGAAGCTCTTAGGCACAACTTCGTTTTTTTCACATTTACTATCGTCATGGTCCAATATTGTTTCGAAATGGAGTTATCCACATCATCTCGACGGAAAATAGGTTCTAGTAATCGGTACGAGATGACGCCTAATCGCCAATTTAGCGATTCTAATCCTGAAGCTTGAAAAGAATAGTTCCCCGCGGTTTTTCATACAGTACGCGATCTACTCCCACCTACAACTTGAGAGAAGGCTTTGGAATTCCTCTCGAGACCCTTTGAAAGAGGTAATCCGGCAATAGGAGGCTCCAGGTACTTCTGGCCAGAGACACATGGCAACACCAAATGACTCGGGCTTTGATATCTCTTTCGTATCTCCTTCGAGAATGACAGTACGTTATTCTGCCCGCGAGGGTGTTCTCAACTTTCCTCCTGCATGTGAGATAAAATAGGGGGTGATGCCAGACACGTAACTCCATTTTTTGACTGAATGAATCGCGTTGTTCAAATACTAAACTCCAGTTCTGATGCAGTTAAGGAAGGTACAACCTCGGAATGACCCTTCCGTGTCATAATAACACTCGTTAGAGTATTCGCGAGCTCTATTCAATATTAGCGCGCGTGAAGGTTGTTAAGGAAGGTAATGCCCAAACTTATACAATTCAACGCTTGCACAACGGGACACATGATCGAATCTACGTTGTTTCATGTCAACATTGTGGCAACATAGAATCCCCCTTTTACCCACCGTTGTGTCAACACAGCTACGCTGAAAATTGAACCCTCTCTCAACCTTGACTAGACGTTGTTGGCCGAATGGGTTAGCTTATCAATTATGAAATCTTGCCACATAGGGTATCATTGCGGCTGAAATTGCGTGTTTGTTACGCATGCTCATGGCAGTCTTATTCCATTTTAGTTCTGTCCCGTGGCGCAAAATGATCAACAGAGAAATAGCTGGATGATGCCCTCGGACTGATGATCGTAGGAGAAACCGAATTGCACGTGAGAGTGATAATGATGTTGATCCCTCTTAACTTCCGAGTTCCGAGACCGAACGTTCCAACCTACGCTGAGCAAATCAGACAGATTACGGATACGATCAGATGTAAATAAGACATTGGGCATGAACTGGTCCTGGAGCAGCTATCAAGCGCGTTCAGCTGTGATTATTTTCCTAAGGGGGGATTTTTTTCCCAGCAATCGTCATCCAGTGAAGAAAATATAAATTCACCATCTAATCACCCCGTGTGAACACGGGCTTTCGACTAGTTATCCATAACCTTACAAAGGGAGGGATGCATTCTACGCACACCCCCCGCTCCCGATACGGACCCGAGGATCTGATACGAACTTCTCAACAGGGACGTGTAAAACATCCCCGCTTAATACAATTGTAGTCCCCTTTCATGGAAGGATGTCTTCCTCGCCGAGATGAGATATCATCATATATTTCATCACCAGATCCTAGATTTATCGGGATCTCTACCCCTTTATCAAACAGTACCCCGTCCTTTTATTTATTGGCGTTCTCACAGGGAGAGTGTTTCTCGAGGGTGAAAACGGCGGGATCCCACCTGTATGGAACAGGAACCCCTGGATCGGAAAGACGCCGTTGGCCGCGTAGTAAACATCCCGTTTCTATAGCGTATATTTCACTCATAGTCCATCATTGGAGATGGACTTTACCGACGATACAACTTGCGCCCCCCCCCCCCCCATACCAGACCACTATTCACTCGGAAGAACCTCTTTCATGCAATGGTCTGACTACTTTTTGCAATATCGCCCTAGAGCCAGGAAGAGATTGACACATTGAAAAAAAATATTGTGATAATGTCAAAGGGCTTTCCTGAAAAATGGTTCAAATAAACGTCATGATATTTGGCATAGGAATGAAAGTGAGTATTCTACGTGCTATAGTCAGACGCTGCACACCTCCATAATAAATATCGTCTCGAAAGAACTGGCAAAAAACTCATTGGCCAAAAAGTGGAACTCCAGGAAAAAAAAACCTTCTCTTCCACGTACAAATATCGGTGTTAAGCTTCAACCCAAGTTATGGAGAATTTGGCGGCTGACAAAGATGAAAATTGCATGACAGTCCGTCAAGCGGTTCCGAACCGATGATTCACTCAAACAATACACATGGAACTGGAGTCTTCCACCCTCCCTTCCCTCCTTCAAGAAGATGTTCCTTGAGGGAATCTACGCAGAATTTGGTGACGAAGGAATCGAAATAAACGGAATACTCTCCTCTAAGAGAATTACGGAGGAATTTATGCTGCACTATTTGAGAAGCTAGTAATTCCGTTGGAACATTCAATAGTCGCAATTTCGCATTCAATTTCTAGGACATTTTCATACAAATCTCGAAAATACTCTGAAGAATAGTCATGAAATTTTGCATGAGATTTCACCCAGCTGATGGTCTAACTTTCTTAATAAACGTATGTGCGAAATTTATCTATGACCGGAATGGCAGCTTCATGAGCACATTTAAAAAATCAAATTTTCTCAGTAAATCGCATGTTTCACGTTTGACCTGGGATGCAAGGACGTACCCTGATAGCCAATATTCATTGGGCCAAGCATTGCATATCATCGGCAAAGTGCTTGGACCACACTTGGTTGCCAACGGAGGGCCAATAATGAAATATCTCATCGGTCGATAGGTATCCAATGAATCAGGGCTAGAATGGCCTAATGTTGGCAACGTGATTGGGGCTTTCTTGGCTGCCAAGAAAGGCCCAACATATATGAGTGATTCCATGCCAGTCCGCACGCTTTTTTCCCACGACCCCTTTCAATTTCAATGATACTTGGAATTCTGATTGTACTTAATGAGACGACAAACTGCATCAAATTTCAGCTTCATACATCGTGTATTCTTAGAATGACTCTAAAAAGAAATCGACCATTTTGGAGGATTTTTGTCCCAGGGATCACAAAAATTATCATAACTCCGTTAATAATAAAGGTAAACATGTATACTTGGGTATACATGTACAGGGTGTCCATAAAAGAATGCAACCGTTTCAAAAATTAATAATTCAGTAAGTAATGGATAGAAAGCAGTCATCTTTGCATTGAAATGAAGGGGAAGACTGGGAGTTAATTTATATCCTGTTATTGATGCAGTTGGCAGCTCAAAATGCGCGCAAGGGAATTTCCTAATTGGTGTCTATTTTTGGCGCGCGCCTCACCCCCATTAGTACACCAGCAACCGTTGAGCAGAAGGCTCAATGCGTGTTTCGGAATGCGGAGACCAAATCATTCATTACAGTTCAGCATAATTTGCAGCGCGTTTATGACGTAAAAGAGCCTCCTCCAAGGAGTTCAATTAAGCGGTGGTTGCAGCAGTTTAAGGAAAATGGAAGTGTCGAGAAACGAAGATCAACAGGAAGATCGCGAATGAGCGACGCGAATGTGCAATTCATCGAAGAGTCGTGTTTGCGCCGCCCAAAGAAACCTTTCAGACGTCGTGGTGGTTAACTTGGTGTACCGCTATCTAATCTTCACAAAGTGCTTCGCAAAAACTTACGACTCCATGGATACAAAATACAGTTGAGGCAAGAAATTAAAGACTGTGATCGCCCAAAACGTGTGGAATTTGCAGATGTTATGCTGCGTGAAATCGACCACAGTGAGGGTTACATGGAGCAAGTTCTGTTTACAGACGAACTTAAATTTCACGTCAACGGCTGTGTCAATTGCCACACCTGCAGGATTTGGGGTGCAGAACAGCCAAATGAAGTTGTTGAGTACGTGCGTACGTGCTTGCAATTAAATTCAGCATATATCGGCAGCACGAAAAATATATTCGCCAATATTGCCAATTTTGGCGAAGAGTTGTCTCCCTAATATTGCCCTGCCATAATTGATTCCATATCAAACGGATGGCACAATCCAATGCGCCTCAATTGCACTTGTAAGTATCCGAGATTTGAAGTTCTCATCTAGACCACTAGATGGCAGTATGGTTCTCGCTTTTGCAGACAGTACCAAACGTACCCTTCCACCCTTCTCTTGATTCGTCTTTCGAAGTACACAGTACCTCCTTATATACTTTGTCATGTCTCATGAAAGGCAATCAGTTGCATCTGTCATTTCTTCATGGAGATCAGGAATTAATCATGTTAATTTTGCTTATAAGAAACCTTGCCTGTCATGAAATTTGGCATGTAACCTCAAACTTTCCTTCGCGCCCCCGCCCCTAACTCTTAGCTCTCTCTTTCGCACGCGGACACCTGATAAGGCCCTTCCGGCCAGGTGGATCTGTAACCGCTTTTTGATCTTCGGGGTACCTGTCCTTATCCCTTCCGGTAGGATGTAAATATAATATCGACTTAAATAAAATCACAACTCACTGACTCGTGAAGTAAAATGGCTAGGACGCTATAGATCTCATTGCTCTTCGGTTCAGGTGGACCTAAGCGTTGAGTGACCCAAAACGTTGTTACTTACCTAAATAAATTCAGGTTGCTTTCTCAATAAGGCCGCATAGTTCCTTACTCTTTAATTAAACTCCTAAAGATAAGAAAACCTCAAGGGAGATATCTTGGGGGGGGGGGAAGCAGCTCTTTCTCGGGTTGACTTTTCCCCCATAGCCATGAGTCACCTACTCAGTGCTTAGTCATTAGCTTCATGAGGGTCTTACTCTCTGCCAGCCCTCATGTTGGGTGGATCTCATCATGGTGGGCGAGAGTCATGTGTCAGTCCATCACATGACAGCGGGGGGCCCACCATATCTTTAGCTTCTAATATGATAAAATATGAAATTTGAAATTTCATGAAATGCCATATAGTGTTACTTCTGCTTTTATTGCTAGGTTGAATCTTTTCTTCACTTTTCTCATGACTTTTATCTTAATCTCTCCTTCCAGGATGGCCAGGAGAAGTGCCTACAGTTGACAAAGAGACAAGTAAGAACGTCCTTAAGGTTCTCAGGGAGAATGGGGTGGTGTGGGATGAGAAGTCACCCCCAGTGATCTTGGATACAAGGCCACCAGGGAATATATCAACAGGATTCTTGGAGTCTTTATCGGTTTCACTCACAGGATCCCTCCTCCACCTCCCCCTCCTCAAGGTCTCATTCTACGCATATTTTCTTTACCTCATTAATGAATATTTCCTATTTCCTCCGTCCAGCAATGTTCACGACGCTTTGCTTTTTCCAATCATTATAGCTATTACATAGCATAGCAATAACATATTACCTTTCCTCAAGTTCTAGAAGTTCTAAAAAAATATCTCCAGAAATTTTCATAGATTTGCTTCCAGAAAGTTGGCTTATGCGAGGGGCAAGGACTTTTGCACCTTATTGTATTAGTGTAGGATGCTTATGAACATTTCATTTTGCCTTCATCTTTAATTAGAGGTATGGAGAGATGAAATATAATTTGAATGCGCCTCTTCAAGTGTGGATTTCAGAAAAATTGAACCTCATCGATACATTCTCTTGGGGACATGCATTTCAGCACTTTGTTTCATAAGTATTTTTCTGCTGTCAAGGAATCGGCAGAAAGAGAAGTGAAAATAAGTATGTGTGCTCAAAACTTCCCACAATAATATTTTTGGAATGCATACATCAAGGAAAAAATAGAAATTGAAAGTAAATAACCCGAAATTGCTGCTTCAGCACACAAGTTATATTTATTTTTGCTATTACCGCAGAGACCTACGTAGAGAGTTCAAACTTAGGTTTGAAAACGTCTATTTCAATGGGATAGCAGAGGAAAATAAGATTCTTCGGGTACATTCCTTTGGGGCATGTTTATTCGAGAGGGGGGGAGGTTGTTTTAAATGAATTTTCTAAGAACTTTTTGAGAATTGAACAGCAAACAATGCTACTTGGAGACGGAATATTAGTAAGGCTGCGAAGTTTGGAAAATAATTGCGATTCTAAGTTACTTGCTCTTGAGACACCTTTCTAAGAGAACCGTCTCGAAAATATTTTTTCACTTCAGCCAGAGAGACTTAGATAGGTGAAACATGATATGAACTTGCATTTTCGGATGAGGATTCAATCTCACTTTTCAGATAAATTTAAGAAGGAACAATGTTCTAGTAGTCCCATTTTGAAGTAGTATTTCCGATACAGTGAATTGAGTATAAGCATTATTAAAGCATCTGATATTAAACCTTTTTCAAGTTGTTGACTTATAAGATTATTTAAGTCTGGAAATACATATGTCATTCCCGCTGTGCTTGTGGGGAAAATAAATATTTTTTTTTCATTTAGCAATACGGAAAACTCTAAAAGTTCTCCTGCAGTGATTCTAATACCTACTTTAAAGTAGTCAAATTTTAAAGGAAATCCGCCTGGCTTCATACCTGTTTCGAGACAATTTCAAGGAATTCTTTCAGCTCCATGCCACAAGGCAATGTGAAACTTGGCTTAGATTTCTTTGACGATTTGCTGAAGGCAAATTTACTTTCTTAGGGAAATTTTCCGGCGAACGAGTAATGAAGGATTTTTTTGTTCGTTTAAATGAAGGGGAGAGGTACAACGCAAAAATCAAAAGTCCGATTTAAATCTATATTTTTACAGTTTCGCTTTTTGAGTGCATGTTTTAGTTCTTGGAAAAATGTTTTATTTCATGGAAGCTCGAAAATGAACTATGGAAATTTTACGATAATACAGTTCCGCAGGTGCTGATGCAAGAAGGCTTTCAACTTATACATTTCAAAAGTGTATTTCATCTTTCACCGAGTTGGAAATATTTCAGCAAACATTTCGTTTGACATTTACAAATGAACCTGAAACGCTAAAGAATTTCCCACTATTGACCCTGCCAAAAATGTTTGTCCTCAAAATATTATTTGTATGGTACAACTTCCTTGGGAATCATCTTACTTCGAAACGCATGACTGTAAGAATGAGATTTTTCAAATTCTATGCCTCAACTGCAGAAAAGTTTTCCTTAAAATTTCCTTGATTAAGAAAAGGCACTTTCGTCTCAAGTTTGGACTGTTCACATATTTCCATGTTGACGTAGCAAAATAAATTCTTTAACACTTTCGCTGCCAAGCCATTATTTGGAAGCCGTTCCCCTGAGGCCAAAGTAATCCTCCTAATTCTGGTGTGCATGACACAAGCGATTCCGTGAAAGGTCCACTGGAGATGATGAACTCATGGGGCAGCAATCGACAAGCCGTAATGACGAAACTGAGCTTGTCCGCAATGACTGTCGGCAATCAAGCGGTACCTATGTCGTACCGTTGAATTTTTAACCGATCTTGGAGTGCCATTGCTCCCACATTCTTTGTATTCCTTGAACCTCGAACCTTACGACTTCAGGCTGATTCCAAAAATGAGGTGCCTTCGATGAATGGCCGCCTCTTCGACGACATAGGCGCTTGCCAATCAACTTGCGACCAACGCGTTGGACAAATTTGCCAAAAATGGGTGTTTTTTCTAATGTTCTAAGCGCTTTACAAACGAAAGGAAATGTGTGTTGCAAGTCAGGTTGAACTAGAGGGTTGACTGGAAAAAAAGTAAGCAACTTGAACATTTTTTTATACAGATAAATTCTTCAGGGAATTGACGTGAAAATGCAAGGATTCCTCGTTGACGTGGTTCTTCAAGAGCTGTTGAAATACAGTATATGCACCCTTGCCCATCTACTCTTGAGTCATGACAGATTTAATCGAATTGGTCAAATTTTCTGAGTGAACAGGCATGTGACTGCCAATGGGGAGGTTCGAATCTGCATTTGATTTTTGCCTAATGGATCAGTTCCTCTGGGATGATCCTCGCGAAAAAATTAATAGAACTTTGTCAAAACTGTCTACTCATCCTTAAAAAGTTCATGCATCTGCATGCATTTTCAATTCTATAGAAAACTTTCAAGTTGCATTCTTTTCTTGTCATCCATGCATTCCAAAAGGGATCATTCTGAAACAGAGCGTCTGCTCATAGTTCGCTCATATGAAAACCGGTTCTGGACCTTTTTGATATGTCCACGTACATACTATATATAAAAACTCCCGTAATATGCCCTATACGCAGAAATGAGGAGGAAGTAATTTACACTTCACCCTTATACAGAGATATGCCTATATTGATTACATTGTAAAAAAAAAGAAATGAGAAATGAAACACCGCCAATTTGATTTAAAATTGACCTCATCAGAAGGCGACGATAAAATTCGTAAGATGAAAGGAAGAGGTCAATAGATCGTATCACGCAAAGCAATGCAAACCACCCGTCGGCAGGTTGTATGATCTGGTAGAAAGGACCTGTACGACCCTCCAGCGGGTCGTATGGCAGCGAAAGTGTTAAAAGCGCCTTCATGAAAAGAATTGCTCCCAGGGTAATGTTCCTCTAACGTTGTAACCTCCAACGTTGGAATTTTTCTAATATTCTAGGATAATTTGATACTATAATATCTTGTGTAATGGTTAGACCACTATTGAATATCAACATCTAAAATTAACGTCATTCAAGGAATTAACTTGAAATTCTTGTTCCCTTTTTCAAACAATTTTCATGAAGTGCCAGATATAATTTCAAAACTTTTCTCTTTGAGAGGAAAAAAAGTTCCCTTCCTTGCACAGCTTCAATTTAGCACTGGGTCCTTCTGAAGTCCTTCTGACTTTTGAAATTAATAGAAATCGAGATTTTTAAAATCGAACATTTACTTATTTCATGACCTTTTCAATAAAAGGATCACATTCGATTTGAATCCAAAGATTTTGATCCTACTTGAACCTAATTCAAGGGGAAAAGTGCAACATTTCAAATTTTGACCAATTAATCACTCAGCACATTATGATTTTGGAGATAGCTTAAAAAAAGTTTAAACAAGTTTTCATGATAATCTGCCCATCTATTAATCTTCAGTCAGTAGTTGCCTTGATGAATAAATCTATCGTTATGAGGCCCCCACGTCTACTGTTTCACAGGCCACCAACACCAACATTTTGAAATAGCTTGCCTTCAACTATTTTTTTAGAGTTAGCAGTAGTTAACAGTTATTCTACGCATGAAAAACTGACCATTTTTGGTTTTGGAGTGAAAGTAAAACATTACTCATTCACAGAAAAACCGAAATGAGAAAATAATATTTAATATTTTTTGCCGAAATTCGACGTCCATATCAATCACTTATTTCAGTCAATTATTAAAAATGCAATTGTAATTCTGAGTCCACTGCATGAAGAAGTGACAATTTCACAGAGATTTTAGGTACCAAATTTGCCTCACACCATACAGGACATATTCATGAAGGATGACATCGCCAATCCGTTCCCTCTAATCCAATCAGTCGCAGATCTTCTAGAGCGGGTCATTATTCTCATTGGGGAAAAAACTTCCAGTGAGTCATTCCTTCCCTTACTCTTCTTCGCGCTGCTAAATTAACCTTAACCTATTAAATCATTCCATAAAGTTTCGAGGAAAGTTTTTTGTGTTTCACCCTCTTTCAGTTGACGTTAAGAGCAGATACTAACATATGACTTTAAAAAACCTAAAAATAAAAAATGAAGAACTGTTTCCATTAAGGAAATTAAATCTAGTACTGTGACATTATTAACGACTAGATTTAGGTAATGTTTATTTTGAAGAACTCAACACATGTATCACCATCATCATCATCATAACACAATTAAGGCTAGAACAGTAATTAAATTATATTATCATATATACATGGAACAATGGCATGGATGTATTAATATGAAGTTGCTGCTACCCGTAGATTCCTAGTGCACAAAAGATGCAGCATTTTGAGACCACCTTGTAGATGAAAGTCCTTGACAGTAAGTGACTAATACGTACTCTCAAAATACAAAAGAAAATAAAATACAATTAAATAAAATGCTTTAAGAGGAACAGGCGTAGCTTATAATAATAGACGTTCGACCTGATACTGAATGTCGTAATGGGCATGAACTCCTGATGTCCCTCACAAACCATGGCATTCATTACGTTCAAGGCGGGGAGACCTACAGGTCTCCAAAATCACATTGCAGAACATTACAAAACGTTGCAAGTTATCAAGAACGAGTGGATTTTGATCTCTTGATTGTAGGTGCATTCTCTGAAATTATGGATAAAAATTATTATATTTACTGAAATTAGATGACGCTCTGCCGTTCTGGAAAATTTTGCAATTTTTCAGGGAATATTTATGAGAACCTGAGAGGAAAAAAACTATGGTCCGGAGTAATTAAAAGTTGAAGGATCTAATCCTTGAATGGGATCCTAGATTGTGCAAAATACATTATCTGCATAACCACTGTCTGCAAAAGAAACCCTTTAGTGGATTTCAATGTTAATCGCAATGGAAGAAATGCTTGACAATAAATCGCAAATTTATATGTGTAGCTTATTCGATTGTTACCATGAAACAATGCGGGCATATGACGATTTATAATCCGTTCATTAGGGTACCTAGAAATTCTTGAACTGGCTAAGAATCATGACTCTCTTTCAGGGACATTTCTTCCTAATATAGAAGAGAGAGATTTGGAGGGGATCCTACTCTTTTGGGAGGAAACCCCACCAAGATACATGCTTGTGATGAAGACGAAGAAGACGGCGCTTAGCATGAAGAGCACGAGAAGGACGGTAAAGAAAAGGGTGGTGGCAAGGAAGGTGAAAGGTAAACAATAAGGGGACAATTTGAGGGATGGAGGATACTGTTGCAAATTCTAGCATATTTATTCCCTGGGAGTGTCTCACCCTCCCATTAATAAGTCACGAGGTGCATGCTTTCACTCTAGAAGGAAGTGAATAGGCACGTTCTTTCAATATAGGGTCATTCCACGCCAATTCGACCAGACCCTAAGCTCGACCAGCACCGAATTGGACGAACATAGCCATACATGTAGCGGAATCGATTTAAAGAAACCAATTTCAGCCAATTTTTTATATCTCTAACCAATGTCCTGATATATGCATTTGACTGGCGCCAATTTTGACTCCCTGTGCCCATACTTACAGGAATTGTGAAACTGTTTCTGCAATAAATTCTCTTCTAATTACGATAGAAGCTTCATTCTGGTGTCATTTTATTTGCTAAATCATCTTTAAATTGATTATAGGCAATATCCATCAAAGATAAAACAATAAATTCCACGTGACTGAACGGTTTCATCATGTTCAGTGGTGAAAAGCGACACTTTCCACCTCTGGAATTCTTCCTTCTAATAATTTATTCAAAAGCGCATGTAATGGCCTTTCTATGGATACCAATTTCGAGATTGGCACTCAACAGATTATTGAGATATGGCTATTTGACTGATGCAACAGTGCCAAAATCTACCTTGACGGAAAAGTTTGACCAGTGTCAGTGACCAATATGTGCAATTGCCCCTCCAAGAAACCAAACTTATAATACTCCATCAAATGGCGCATATTGCGCCCTTTCTAGCGATCCCAAACTCGAGATTGACACCCAATGGATTATTGAGGTATGACTGCTTGACTGATGCAGTAGTACGAAAAACTTCCCTTGACGGAACAGTTTGACTAGTGTCAGCGACAGACATCTGCAACTCCCCCTCCAAGTGAAATATCGGTACTACTGCTACAGTCAAATAGTCATGTCTCATCAATCCATTGAGTGCCAATCTCAAATTTGGTATCGTTAGAAAGGGCATAATATGCGCCTTTCAATGAAAGATTACAAGTCTGGTTCACTCTCAATGTCTATGCAAGATTCGGTCTAATAGAATCTAGGAATAACGAAATTGTGTCGAAAAAAGCACTCCAGACCAGACGCAGAAGAAATTATGTTGTTCATGGGAAAAAAATGTGTTATAAAGGAATCATTCTGCATCTGTAAGTTTTCATGTGATATTCCAGTAATACATTTTCTTGGCTTAAACGTGACAATTATTAATACTTCTCCTAAATAATATAGATAGAGGCCATATATTTCTGCATGTTTTTTTTTTCAATCCAACCGTTGTACCAGACTACAAATCATTTGATATGTATATTTGCCTTCGTAGATCGAATATGCTATGCAGGGTAACAATTTTGTGAGTCTTACCATCTTGCCTCTGTATATATATTTTTTGCTATATTTCCATGAGTTATCCATGATTGGAAAGATAAAAGATATAATCATCCGTCCCTCTTGCTTCTTGAATTTCAATAGTGGATTGGGCTGTATACGATGTGTGATGTGAGAGAAAGTGTGCACTTTTCCATTTTTTATTCTGTACACTCCTGTATTCCATATATACTTCAGCATTTAATATTTCCCTGAGTCAAAGATTGCAATTAAAACATAATACTTCCGCACTTTCCTCATATCTGTATATGAATTGCAAAACAAAAAGAGGAAGAGGAAAGGAAATCCTTTTGCTAAATCGTGAAGGCGGGACCTTAATTGCATTTGTTGTGTGCAAGGGACATGGGTATCATCTAGTGGGCCCTCTTGGTATTGTATTTAGGGAAGTGCGAGCCACATTGTGGGAAGAGAGCTGGTCTGCAGCTACATTAGTTAGTGGGCCACCAACTATCAATCCCACTTGCCGCCACGTTCCCATCTCCGGCAGAAATCCGCAACTGAATTTAGCAATGGCTCTTTACCTTTGTGCTACTGGGGAAGTCCAGGATCATTTCATTTCAGGCATTATATAGGGGAATATGGGCACCTTGGGTCTTTTTTTTGCGGGCCTGCAACTTAAGCTTTTTATTATTCCTCTGAAGCAATGGAAGGACTCGCGTGTAAGTACTCCAAGCACCTGCACAATCCAGTTTCAAATTTGTTGGCATACAGGTGTCTCGCGATAAAGTCGTATTTTACAATGGAGCACCTTGTGTTCGTGTCCGGGTACGATGGGTCTTCCCTATAATCATCACTTTAATGAACTTCATCTGCCCCAAAGTCATCACACAAAGACGTATTTGCACCCAAGGAGATGCTCTTGAACACAGACACACTCCACCAAAGTTGTCTAGATAAATTTAAACCCTTAAATCTGAAATGTTTATATGATTATGTATGGAAATTTCTGTATTATTCATTCGCATCCAAGAATTTCACATCTGCTGGTGTTGAACTCTACACAGCCTTCCGCTTCTATTTGCGCTTTATTAGACCGAAAAAGACTGCAAAGGAAACCCTGATCTGCATTGCCAACTATCAGAAAACATTTGGCGCACTGGGTTATGATCCTTTGTGCCAAAAATAAATTGACTTATAGTGCCCCAAAGACAGTGACCCACCGTGCCCCAACAGGAGCCATTAAAGTTAAATAAATATTCAAACAGAGTAGATTGAGGTTTTAGCTCATACGCGCAGGCATTGAAATACCTATCTGCCGAATCTTTGAATCAAGACTATTCATCTTATGAGAGAATTAGCAAAAATCGAAACGTTACTGCCAACAAAAACGAAAAAAAGGGGCCTTTCACAAAAAAGTTCACCTAATGTGCCAGTAAAGTGCATGGGCCGCTTATGGCCTACTACTTTTGTCCTACTTAGGCTCATATGGCCTCATCTGAGAGAATGTATGATAGTACACCAAGAGAAAGGACGTATGTTCTTAAAATTTGTCCAGATTTGAGATGTCCATCAAATTAAGTTGAAGAAATGGAAGCAATCCAGATATTGACCAATTTTCTTTCATTTTCCTCTATTCACATTTTCTCCTGGGTCTTTTTCGAGTTTTTCTTTTCGAATATCTCCTTTTCAAACTGGTTTTGAGGCTTCAAAATAAAATTCTGAGCTTTGCACGTTTTGTGCACCATGTTTGTTGCACCATGCGAATGTCAATACATGAAGAAAAAAATTGTAAGACCGAGACTGCCGAGAGAGGGACGGCGAGAGATACAAGAAAAGAGGCAAAAATAGTTCAATTGATCAATATTACATTTATTCTTGTTGTTTGCTTTATTTCCTTTCCTTTTCTCCAGGTAGCTCCAGATCAATGCAAAAATATGCTAATAACGTATCCTCCCCTCCCAGTAACGTTTAATATTTTATTGTCACACTCCCAAAAGTATTCGCTCCTCTTATATCCTAATAGTTAGGGAATGGGTGGAAAAGGAATTATAATATCTTGCCTCTTGTGCTTCCTTTAGCAGCATGCGGTTCAGTTTGTCTCCAAAGAACCTTCCGAGTCAAGTAAAATCTTTCTGCGAAAGTAGATACTAAGAAGAAATTATATGGTGAAAGAGCACGAAAAATTTTGTTGGAAATTACCTGTGGAAACTGCAGTGCTTTCTTAGGACATGAATTTAGTGAGTACGGTTACAAAAGAGACTATAAGAATGGAAAACTGTTTTGACATAAAATTTCAGATTCATGTAATTTCATTTTTTATTTTCCTTGTTTCTTTCCGTCAGCTAAGGAAAACGCCCTGTGGATATCGGTTGAGAATATGCCTCAAATATATGAGGATCGTGACCCTTCCAATGTGACGCAAATCTCCTTTGAAGGGAAGGTTGCTGTGGGTTTCACGCACCACACAGCACTCATATTGTGGGAATTGGACCGACAATTGACAGGATTGCCTCCCCTCAGTCCGAGTAAGCGTTCATTATTTTTTCGCATGCTTCTCCCCTTCCCTATATCCATCAATGATAGCACCTTTTTTCTCCATGTAACATCACTCGGAAAAAAGTGTAAAAGTGAAAAAAGTGTAAATGGCCTTCATGATCATTAATTCACCTCCCCCCGCAGCGGGGAATTCGTCTCTGCCAGGACAGCAAATAATATTGCACGCAAGTTTGAAGTTTCTATTCAAGGGCAATGGGACACAACATAGTTCCAACTTATTTCAAAAAGCAGAGTTGAAGGGGAAGGCAAAAAGCGCAAGGCTGGGCGCCAGCTAATGAAAGCTTTTTCCTAAACGCAAACTCCGATGCCATTAGTCACCTGGTCCGGATTTCACAGTCTAGCTCTCTTGGATGAGCCTGGTTTGATTCTCTTATCTGAATGCTAGTTTGAGTTGGCGCACGCTTTGATCTAAACCTAGTTCAGAATAATTTCCAGACGCCTCCAGACGTCCTAGAACAGAGCACTCCAGTAGAGCATAGGGTAGTTAAACAAACTCCTACCTTCCTGCGAAGTCCTCCCCTTAATCCCAACCCAATATTATGAAAACCTAAATCACCGATTTTGAATAAATCACACAATTTCCAGTCCGGAAAACGTCAGGAACCAGGAAAAGTTTTACTACATTATATGGAACTAGCGAGTCGGTCGCGCCTTCAGCGCTCCATTGTCCAATATAGTGATTCATTGATTAATTTATTTTCAAAGTGGCGAAAACGTATTAAAAGCATGTACCTGTCGAAATGTATATCGAGAGAAAGAACCGATATTTTCATCGAAATAATTACTCCGATTGTTTCTTGTGTGCCCAACTTATAATCTCTTCATAATCTGTCCTGAAGGGCGATATTTGAAAAGTAGGATCTGCACTCAGCAATCGAACAGGTGCTTCCGCTCCAAGTTTCAACTTCCTTTAGTTCGCAACTAGTTTCAATGAAAAAACCATTGCATCTGAAATAATTCAGGGAATTGCGTATTTTACAAAAAAAATGCCCTCGGGTTTCGCTAAAAATTAATATTTTAAAACTGAAATTGCTACTCGGAGAAACACATACCAAGTTTCAGCCTTATTCGTTTGCTCTATTTGCCTTTTTTCTGATGCAAAAGTCTCTTTGGAATAGCCGACGCAGCCAGAAGATGTGCCCTGAGAGTATGTCCCTCAAAACTTGATTTTTTTTTTCTGAAGTCACCACGACCTCAGGTGTGCCAAGTTTCATCTTACTATTTCTGCCTGATTTGGTTAGAAAAAAATTTATTTGAAAACGTTACCAAACAAAAATATTCCTCCAAGGTATGCATCCAGAACTTGATATTTTTACTGAAATCAATGTGTCAGTAGTCTCGTTCTTGCCAGGTTTCAGCTTTCCATGTCTCTCCATTTCATTTGAGGACAAAATTTACAAGAAACGTACTAGGAACGGCACGAAAGTAATGTCTGTTTAACTTTTTCACATCGATCAATCATCGTAAATAAATAAATTTGCCTGCAAACCCGTTGTGAGGTTCAAATGAACAGGGTGGGCCAGAAATATGTACCCGAATTGAAAATGATACTACAGGATAATCACACAGGATAGGATTGAGTACTAAAATGCATTAAGCAAGCAAAGTGAAAAATTATTATACGAATTAACCCTTTCTTCTGTTGCAGCTTCAAAATGCTTTAATTTAATTTACAACAAATAATCTATCGCCATATCAAACCTCAATTATTAATTGTGACATAGCAAGCATTCAGAAAGGAGTTTCCAGGATGTGAGGTGCCAACAGCTAAGACAATATGACGAACTCTGAACCAAAAAAATGGGGAAAATTCCCTGTATAGTCTTAGCTGGAACATTTGCTGCAATGGCTGGAAACGAAATTATTGCTGAAACGAAATTAACGGTTTTCTTACTCTACCTACAGATTTACCTGTCTGATGGACTTGAATTCCGTTAGTTTTTATTGTACAATGTTATTGAGGCCCTGGGTTCCAAGCTTTTTAAAATTAACCTTTATAGAGAAAAACATTTGTGCATACAGTAGGGAATGGTACGTTTTTGTGGTAAATCTCATAATTTTCAGTCTGAAGATTATGGGAAAAAATAAGTAGGCATTTATTTCGTACTGATCATGGAAATTTACTTACGTTCTCGTTCTCCACTCTTTTCATGGGAGAGGAAAGGAAGGATGAAAGAAGCGAGAGTGATGTAAGAGCAGCACACTAGGCAAGAGGGCAACAAAACGAAAAAAGATCGGAAATATAGAAATAAATTATTATTTTCCCATCCTGATTTCCATTCCTAGCGAAAATTCTCACTCTAGCTGGAAGACGTCTCTGGATCTTCCGTCGATTTGAGGCATACCAGTTCACATATTTCTGAAATTAATTTCATGGTTTAATTTTAAGTCAAGATCCCAATTTGCTACATGTAGCTCCAGGAAGATAGGGAAGGTAGAGGAATGTATGCTTCTGTCCTAGGCTGCATAAAGGAGCTCTTCTCGAAATCCATGCCTTTTCATTCGCGCATTTCATTGTTTGCCATGAATATACTGTATAGCTATGAATAAATAAAAAGAAATATTTTCACATATTTCCCAAATTAATTTTTTAAGTTCCCAGGATTTTAAAATAGAATTCAAATTGTTCTCTGACAAGGAATTGTGATGCCTTTGGAAAATATGAAGATTAAGGAGGAACCATTCTACGCATTCATGAATTAATTTACAAAGTTGTCTCCTGACTTCCATTTTTCCACTTTCGACGTTCAAACTTGATTTCTAAAGAATGCGAAATCATGATTAAATGCTAAATTTGAAGGCCGAAAGTGGAAGTATGGAAGTTAGGAGAAATTAGGACAATAGTGGACAAGTGGACAATAGAAGACGTGAAAATGCTAATAGTCCTATGGATTCCTTAAATCTTTTAGAAAATATCAATGTAGATTGCTTACCGAGTATACTCTTGATACTTCCCCATTTGCCTTATCATCGAATTCCCAGTGCATTCCAAATTCGAAAAATAATTGAAGACGTTCGAGCGTAGACGATAAGCACTTCTGTGAAATAATGATTTTAATTTTCTAATAGGCCATTGTCCATATCATGCAAATTTCCTTAAAGTGCATATTCCTCATAAATGCATGAATTTAAATAACAATACATTCTCACATTTTGGCATGGCAGTCTTCAGACCACTCGGTGTCTAGTAAATCATTGTCAGAACGGACAGAGTCCGTTAATGCGCAGTGAAACTGTGTTGCAAGGATAAGTACCGTCTGATAGCATACATTTAGGCATGATATTGCTTGGAACATTTGGTCGGATATTAGTTGAAGGTGTAGTTGATGTATAAGCAATGTAGTAGAATCAGGGGTTGGTAACTATGTGGAACTATGTGGGTGGAATCTTCGGATGAACCAGACAGAGGATTTCTTTCAGACAGCAAGTAGGGTTTATAGCTGCTTCTCGTTCTGTCTGTTTCTTTATATATAGATTTGAAGAAACCCAGATCCATGTCTTTGTCCCAATTTTAAAGATCAATCTATCTTCACGGTTGGTCCATATCAACAGTCAAGGGAAACTGGTATTAATTATATTGCTCCCAATGCAAGTCATTTTGTTCTACTGTATGTTTCTTTCTTTTAGGGGTGGGGGGGGGGATGATCAAGCCTACATTGATTAAGTGCAGTACAGAGATTTCCCTTTACTTGCCGAGAGAAACTGGTTAGGACAATCCTTTCCAACAAACATTTTTGAGCATTGAGTTCAATAGAACCATGTACGGGCAGATTTCGACGAACCCACCCAATTGAAGTTCAATGAGTTCTACCTTACAATGTACGTTAAATCTCATCGGTACAAATGATTTAACCATTAAAAGTAGTTTTATATTGGCTGAATATGTCCAGGAATAAAGCAAAACATATTGAAAAATCAAGGAAGGAATCGAAACATTCATCAGGAAGTTATTATTTTCAAAGTTGCAAAGCGTTATGTAGAGAGTGCTAAGCCTCAACCATGACAAGCACTTTTCCTATCAAAACGGTTCTCTTTCCCTTGCAGACGTCCTGGTCGAACGTCGCTATCGTTCGTAGGGCAGCTTCTCTTGCACAGGTATGTCCTTTATTTTACTTTACATACGGTGTTCTCTAAATAAGCTGAGGGGCGTCTTCTTCTAAAGTCTATTCCTTTCATCATGTATGTCATAGGCTTGGCATATTTTCGTTGCTTGAAAAATTTTCCAATTAACTAAATCATGAGAGGAATCTTTGAATTGCACCAAGTCCCTTGACCTGTTCAAAGTAAACTCAAGGTTCATTTAATTCATCTTGTTAAGTAGGTTTTTCACAATACCTAAAATGATCGTTAAATCTCAAAAGGACTCCATTCCATGCAAAAACTATCGCTATGGCTGGTCGCTAGGTCAAACTTTAGCCTCCAACGCTTCACAATGGGTGGATGGGCAGGTGTACAGTTTCAATAATTATGCATGAATCATGAATTTCGATGGGGAAGTTGGAAATTTCAATATCTTCCTCTTTGAAATGAATTGGTCAGGGTTTTCCTGGAATTCCATAATCTTGTATGCATCTTCCAAAGGAATGTCCTGGATAATCTATATTATTAACATTTTTATACTAGCGGGTTTGTTTGCCCTTCGAGCAAACAAACTCTCTATGGTCGTGCCTTCGGCGCTCCATTACCTTGGATAGTGATTAATTCATTTATTTTTTACGAAATAGGAAACACGCGTTTTTAGTACGTCTTCATTGAAATACGGGACATATGGAGACGAAAGTCTTCATTTTTATCAAAATCATTACTTCGATTACTTCTAGTGCGCCTAACTTGAAATCTATTCATGTTTTCCTTTTTGTCAGGGTGGAGCATACAGTTTGAAATACTTCCATCCTATAACCTACGCTAAGGAGACATATTTCAAAAGTTGGATTTCAGCCATCAAACAGGGACTTCTGAGCGAAGTTTAAATTCTCTGTCTCTGTTTCGTTGGATCAAAAAAAATTCAGGAAAATGTGACTGAAAAAAAAGTGTCCTGATGGGTTTTAACGAAAATTTTATTTCTTCTGAAATGTTGACTCAGCGAACTCCATGCCATCCAGTTTCAGCCTTATATGTTTCCTCTTTTTGCTTGCAAAAAAGAATTGTATTTGGAAAAGCAACAAACCCATAAGATGTGCTCTGAGGAGACGCACACCAAAAGTTGAATTTTTCCTTAAATCAACATCACGTCCGTTATGCGTGCGCCGACTGCTACTTTTCTATTTCTGCCCGATTCGCTGGGATATGAACAATTTTGTGAAAACGTTACGTCCCCAAGAAATATGCCCCCAAAAACATGACATTTGACATATGGAATATTTGACATTTGGAAACATGACATTTGACATATGAGCTCAATGCGTCAGCAGTCCAGTTCTTGCCAGGTTTTAGCTTTCCATGTCTCTCCGTTTCAATGAAGCAAAGAAAACTATTTGAAAAATTGAAAATATGTTTCCCGAAAGGTGTGCCCCTATGACATGTATCATCAAAGTTGAATTTTTCCTGAACTCAGCATGTGAATAGCGACTTCTCAGTCAGTCAGCTACTCACAGTCCTATATATATAGTAAAGGTAGAATTTTTATTTACTCACCCATCATCAAGTTCTTTTTTGTTGGCAAGTTTAAACTTTATAGCGCCCTCTGTTTTGCTGGATCGAGAAAATACGCCATTTGCAATATATGTGCCTTTAGGCGTTTTAATCATCGCCCTTCGAAAAAATTATCCAGGGGATGTATCGAGACGTAACATTCTTTTTCAACTCCTAGTCTCAGTAGTCGTATTTATGCAAAGTTTCAGCTTTACATGTTCACCAGTTTAACTGATGCAAAAAAAATATTTGAAAACATCTCCCTTTCAAATATGTCCCCCGGGGGCATTTACTTCCAAAGTCTAAATTTTTCTGCATGCAGTATCATAATAGGTAGTTATGTACCAAGTTTCATCTTTCCACACTAGATCAATGCGCGAGGGCAAAAAATAAATACGTGAATACGTCAGCCCCTAAAAATAGGCCCCCAAAGGGCATGGGTCATGAATTTAAAATTTTTCCCGTACTCATCGTCTCGATCGTCCAAGCCAAAGTTTCAGCTTTCCGGGTCTCTCCATTTAACTAGTGCAAAAACATTGTTACGGAGGGGGAATGAGTAGCAGGAGTTGGAAGGCATGAGAAGCCAAAGGAAAGCCAAGGAACGGCCTGGAATTTAATTCGGGCCTCTTCATTGCCAGTCTGGTATGCTACCACTACACCACCAAACCCAGGACGACCGTTAAGTCTCTCGATGCCGTCCTAATCCGTCACAATATATATCTTTAAAAATGTATCCCCTAAAATGTGTACCCCCCCCCCCCCCGGGCATGTACCTCCAAAGTCGGATTTTTACTGAACTCTGCACCCCAGTAGGTACATGTGTACCAAGTTTCAGATTTCTAACTTTTCTAGAACATGGTTATAATTAGCGTCAGTCAGTCGCGATCGTCTATATATATTAGAAAGCAAAAATGACATGCAGACTGAGGGGCACTGATTCTTTTTCTTCTGGCTTTCAGGTTCCAAATGGGCATTATGGAGGAAATGTTTGAGCTCCAACATGGATTCCGAAGCCTTTAATTTTTTTTGTCGTTTCCTTGACTTGGGAAAAAATACCTCGTACAAATGGTCATCGGGACATTAAACTTCCGTCTGACTAAGCACCTGCCGAATACAATATTTAAAATCTCCCATAAGCATCTCTCCTCTTTTGCACCCTGAAAACTCTCAGAATCGGTAAATTTTACATTCCACTCATGAGTAGAACCCACCTGGGATTTTTTTTCTCTTACTTGATCCCCCCGATTCTAGTCTACTCTTGCAATCCCTAGGTGAACATATTCATATGTTTCTAACTTGTCCTAATGACATCATATCTGCAAAAGCAAGATATAAGGGTATGAAGAAAAACTCTCCTTTATTGCAAAACCTGAACGAATACTTCACTTTGCCCAAAGACTGTATCGAGTCTCTATTTGAAAGTGAATAAATCCATGATCTAAACACAGACTTTCTACCAACACCACCACTGTGGTGGAAGTCCCAAGGGAAATGTTGGGCATTCGGGGTGTATATTCTCCCTGTTTACTTCGGCATATCCATTTTTAGAAACACTAGGAAAATCAGTCGGTTAGATGAGGAAATTCACAACAAAATCAAAATTGGGATTTGAGATGAACCTGCGTCACGATACTTTCAAGGAGGTCCAAGTTTTCCACAAACCCGGCGGGATAAAGGTGGGGTATTATTAGGGGTTGGAATTTTCAGCGCAGTAGAACGGACCTACGCAAAGCGCGTGCTGAGCGCATCCAACTCACTCAATCACACATACATTTTGCAGTAGCCTTCCGTGCTCTTGCAGCAGTTGCTTCCTCTTTGTAATTCATTAATTTATTTCTTGACAGATAAATATGAGTTGTTGAAAGAAGCCGATGTCAGAATCACCATTGATTTCAACCTCGACTACCGGTAAAGATCTGCATATGACAGTGATCGATGTCGCTCCCTTCGCCATTCCATTACCACTCCCCTCCTCTCCCATACATATTTAGAAAATTCCGAGCGTTTCGGGAGTAAAAAGTGAGCACTATGTGAGCTATTTTAAATGTACTCTCCTATCACTCACCAAATGTTCCCTCATCGTTCGTATTGAAGTGAACACCTTGAAGTTATTCACCTGGCACCTAGATGGAGGCAAGGGTTTCGCTTTTCGCACAATACAAAAAAGTATCATGTCATCCCAAAAGTAATGCGGTTTTTTCGCATTGCCAAACTTGTGTCTTGTTTATACGTGTATCTGTGCCCATCTCATGGAATATGTCTATGCTAACTTGTATAGACGTTAGTCTTCAGTCTACGCGTAGGTTTTAACGAGTTAACAGCGCTCCGTTTTTCTTAGACGTTAGAAACAAGATGGAGGTGTCAGAGGAACACATTCGACCTATAATGCTTTATGAATTTAAGAAATGGAATAACGCGACTGCAGCCACGAAAAACATTCAAGATGTTTTTGGTGAGGAAGCCCTAAATGCGAGGAAATGCCAACGGTGATTCCAGAAGTTCAGGTCTGGTGACTACAGCTTAGCCGATGGAGACCGTTCATGGCCAACCTGTTGAGTTAGATGATGACCTGCAGATAGCCACACTTGAAGATTATCCTGCTAATGAGTCGATTCAAAAACGGCGCTTGAAGTTCACGAGAATGCTGTGAAGCGTAAATGTTTTCCCGATCTCTAAGATTGTCCGGTGACAACACATGTGGAACCCACTTTCCAAGTTTTGACACTTTTCCTAGCCGTCGTTTCCTGTCCTGTCGTTTCCTAGCGGCAATGAACGGAGAAATGGGTCGAATTGAGTTTTTGGGCAAGTTCTTCAACTGTTACAGCAGGATCTTCTTCAAGTGTGGCTATCTGCAGGTTATCATCGAACTCAACAGGTCGGCCAAGTCGACCACCCCAAGTCTCGGTTATTCCTATGACATCGAAACCGTTGTCCAGTGCCCGCCCCCTGAGCTCGTCTATTTTATTACGTAACCGGAAGGCTGGGGAACCCCCGGAGTGCCTCCTCCACCCTAACTAGCCTCGCCACTAAATCATCCCTCTGTACCTCGCTCACCTCCTTCCTGATCCCTCTTATCTCCTCCACGTTAATGAGCCTTCCCGATAGCTCCTCTAGTCGCTCCTCCGAGCTACAAACTCTGCATACCTGGCGTACCTCTCGTTCACTAGTCCCATCTACCCAATCCCTGCAACGAACGCATCTACGCATCCTAGGTATCTTACTTATTTAATGTTATTGATCCCTATTGATACTCCTACTGCTTTAGACGTATACTTTGCAGTACTTCACACTAGTTGTAACCCGGTAAGACTGTACTGTCGTTGCATTCTTTTACTACAAGGACTAGGAGTAATGCGCTAATAATTAAAGCAATTAAGCTGATTGATACTGATCTAATATGAAGTTGGAGGTAGCTATCAGAAAACTTATGAATACTGCTACAAAGTAGGCAGGTAACAACTAACTCACGACTTAGCTGACAGAACCTCGAGAGTATACTCCAACACGTCCTCGCGCTACGAACGCTCGACCACGACTGAATGAGGACGTTTGAATCAATACTCCTTTAATTTTGCTAAAAACTGTAAAATTTTTTAAATAATTTTTTTCCTTTGAAAAAGTTGATCCCCGAATACGTTAAATCCTGTGCATTTAATGCTGACGTTGTTTTCCCATGTTTTGCAACAATTCTTTGAGAAACGGAAGCGATTCCTGTTTAAAAGTCTTACCGCGAGAAAAATATAGGACATCAGGCCTTTCTTCCAGCCGACAATGCCGAAAATGAAACGAAGAAAGCAAACTCTAGACAGAAATGCTTTGTAATATGTTTTGAAAATATAATATATTTATTACATGTAATATTTCCTTAGAACCGATGCTCCGTCCACTGAAATAAAGACTTAAAAAAAAATTATAATTACGAAATAACCAAGCGTAACTTACTCATGACTAATAATAAACTGGCCGCATATTTGATGCTCCGAATGGTTTTGCTCGATTTGTTCCACATTGTCCCACGAACACCTCATGCTTGAATTTGAGAGATCGGTTTTCCTGTTCGCAAAATTTAAACATTTCTCGACATTTTTTCGACTCTTTCTCACAGAAGCAAAAATTGAAATTGGAAACCAATCCCGGTAAGTCCGATTGCCTCATCTATTTTCTATGATGTATTGAAATTTGAATGCTGATCAACATCACAGTAGCAGTTTGCACCTCACGGACCTTTGCAACGGACAGGGAAATAATTGAGACACTCCAATTTTTTAGACGTCACAGAGCCATACATCTATTAGATGAGAAACGTGTATACACCATGGAAACCGGAAATCCTCCGTGAAATCTGCGAGCACGAAAGAGCAGGACCGCATAGGAGGCTTCAAGGACCTAAAAAAAAAAACATGGCGAAAAGGGAAGACTTAAATGTGAGCTTTCGAATTCGCATACGTTCGAGTAGAAAGGCACATTCGTTTGAAAGGCGACATGCATTTTCATGAGGTCATTTGAGCTCGTTCATCTGTTAACCTCTAAACATTTTTCTATTATAAACCTTCATTGGTCCAGTTTTGCTGACTGGGAGGCACTTGGCAAAACGATTCACTGCAATGCACTTCAGCTTGGTCAAAGTTCATTGTTTTGAATTATTCAGTAATTTGTCCCCCCCCCCAAAAAAAAAATAAATAAATAAATAATAATAATATTAATAATAATGAACAAATATATTATTAATAAATCATAATTCTTACCTGAGGTGTAAATTTTACTGGAGGTTTGAGCTGAACTTGTTTTGCGTAACCAGCCGGCTAACCGCACTGGTCTTCCCATCCGAACCTTCCACTTCTTCCACCTGTCGAATATCACATAAGAAGCAGTCGGTATGTCGGTATATCTCAGGCTCTCATGCACCGAAAGGAAAAACTCACAACGGCATCCAGACTTCGATCTGAGCGATCGGAGGCGAAGTCGGGGGCCTTCCGGCGCTGCAAGAAGTTGTGGACCACGGCCGTGGCGACGATCACGACGAGCGAGGCGTCCAGCTTGGTCCTCAGCTGCCTGGAGAGGCAAGGGAATCGCCGCTTCCAGGTCTCGAGGGTCCGTGAGATCGTGGCGAGGCTTCGGGCGTGGGCACGGTTCAAGCGCTTTTCAGCGGGGGTTTGGGGGTTGGCGATCGGGGTCAGGAGATAGGGTTTGGAGGGGTATGCCGAGTCTCCGAGTAGGCGACCTGCGACGGCCCCGCTTTCGAGGTCGGCGCAGAGGCGACTGTTCTGGAAAATCTGGGCGTCTAGGGCAGAGCCGAACCATCGGGCGACGAGGTCGGTGAAGAGGTGGTTGTGGTCGCAGACCGCCTGGACGTTGATGGAGAACCAGCCGTCGGTGTTGCGGAATAGTTCTGGGTTGGGGACGGTGGGTGGCTGGATCCGGATGTGGGTTCCGTCGATGGCTCCGACGATCTTAGGGATTCCGCCGATCGCGAAGTATCCGGTGCGGACTCTAGCCGCTTCCGCCCCGACCGGGAATACTATGAATCGCGTGTGTTTGGCTGCCAGGGCCCTCGAGACACGAGCGACCACCCTCCCTACGCTCCCCTGGGTCCCCACCTGTCGACCCACGCCGTCGATCTGAAAGTTCCCGCTGCCGTAGAACCTCAGCGTCGCCAGCAGCTGCACCACCGGCGGAACCGGCAGCCCTTGTTTGCTCGGTCGCTCCAGATCCTCCAGCACCTCCTGCAGCAGCTCCACCACGCACTGCTTCGGCATCCTGAACCTCTTCAGGAACTTCTCGTCGTCCAGGCGGACGAATGGGTCGCTCGCCGAGACGAGAGACGGACGGGGAGAAGCCGTCGGCTCCCGCTTCTGTCGTCTGCTCGACAGCCTGTCTCTGCTCGTGCTTCGTCGCTCCATTCCGCCACAAATTCAACGAATTTCGTTTAAGGACGGACTTCGAGGACTTGAAAGAACTCACAAATGTTTCACGATGTGAAACTTACCTCAACCTGAAATTAATCAGACTTCATTTGAATTGCGTGGAACTTGACTTTAGCAGGATCATCATTAAGCTAGGACAAGACCAAGTTTCAGCTGTAACTCAACCTCGAATTCGACAATAACAAGGTTATCGCTTTCGAATACTTTATCCTCTTCTGACTCCCCAATATATTGGAAGAGGAAGGAAACACGCTTCCTTGGACCAATATCGGAAGTGAGAAGAAGCCAATAGGAAAATGCCTTGTCGCTTTGAATCCGCGGTGGCAGATGGGAATCTCCAATTCTTAATTAAGCAGCTGTGCCTCATCTCCCAAACGCCATAATTAGTTATGAACTGTTCCATGATATTTCATAATGAGGTGATGAGTCCAGTGAATGTCGACAATGATGCCTGAATGCCTGCTCGTCCGAGAACCAAACGGAAACGGGAAGAACTGAAAGCAGACAAGATGGGATATTAATTTGTATTAATACTTTGGAATACCACGGGATTTATTTCGACAGATGAGTTACGAATTGACTTCCTTTGTCTTCTCTTTCTTTTGTTTGTCAATAAATATTAAGGAAAGAACGGAAATGAAACGAATGAGATACGCCAATTTTTCGCTCGGAAAGAGTTCCTTTCGCTATCTACTGTACAATTACAGAAAATAAGGAAATGTTTCTGGCATTGATCACCCGATTAGATGGCGCAAATTCCCACCACCGAATCGAGTTTTTCAAGAGAACTAATGAATAATTTCCAGGCTGGCAAAGTGGCGAAAGCATTCATGAGTAAAAGATGAACCACCAAGGCTCCATGAATGAATGAATGAGCCACCATGGGACATGGCTCACCGTGTTCATTATTTCTGCTTTCAAGGAGAGTCCGGTCGCATCGTGTACCGAACTTGTACAATTTAGGTAAGTGAAGTACTTTTTGGCAAACGAGTCTGGTCCGTCTTGGTTCTTAATGGACAAGAAGCACACAAAAAATGTTTGCACTTCAATTCGAAAGCCATGACAACCGTAGTGATTTTTATGCACTTTCGCAAACCCACGAAGAAACAAAGTTCCATTTGCCGAGAAAGTTTTTAAAATGCCTTTCTCATGTTTTTCCTAATTAATTAGTAATATATTTTTAAGAACACTCTCCTACCTAGTTCCTGGCAAATTGAGAATGTATTGAATGTATGAATGAAGAATGTATGAATTCAGAAAACTATAACATTACTGGCTTCAAAATCTGTTTGCTCTAATTTTAGTGCAAGAACTTTGTTCGCGAAGTTCAATTTTATTCCAAAAAGGATCCGCAGGCTAAAAAAGGTCGAGAACCCCAAGTAACTATCGCTTCCGATTGATTATGCAAGATGGGACTTGAAAATGAGCCCGAATGTGTGTTGCATGATGTAGATGGTTAAAATGACGCAACCGTACTGAAGTGAGATGTCTGAAGGGCAATGAAATAGTAAATGAAACAGTAAAAATGAAATAGTAAATGAAAAAGTAGGGAAAGACAGCGTGTTTGAGAAATTTAGTTCACTTTCAGGCACGGAAAACGACCTGCATCGCACAGAACCCCGACCAGGTATGCCGAAAAACGGTCCACTCATCCTCCAAGGGTATTATCTGCACTCGGACCCGACCGACACGGACGAGAGACGAAGGAATCCGCATCCGAATTCGCACACGAGCGAGAGCTCCGGCGGAGCGAGACTGCGACACGCCTGGCATCGACGCTGTGTCCACTCCAGCACTCCCTTTCTCGGGAATCGTCGCCATGGCGATGGTCTGAAGATGCATCCAAATCGGTCGATGTGGCTCCGTCGATGAATGGGACGTGCAAAAATAAGGAGATGCCACCCACGAGTCCACTCCAAATCCATTTCAGTTCATTACAAATCGGCTCGAGTCCGCCCCAAATCCATTTCAGTCCATTGCAAATCGGTTCGAGTCTACTCCAAATAGATTTCAGTCCAATACAAATAAATTTGAGTCCATACCAAATCGATTTTAAACCAAACCAAATCAGTTTGAGACCATTACGGATCGGCTTGAGACCATTAGGATCGGTTTGAGACCATTACAGATCGGCTTGCGTCCACTCCAGATCGGTTTAAGTCCACTCCAAATGGCCCTGTTACATTCGGCCATCGATTGCATCAGCGATTGCATCAGTATTAGCAGCTTGAATAATTAATGCCGTGAAAGGAACATACGTCCTCGTTGAAGTCGCCGAGGCCCCTCTCCCAATAATGCTACGATTGAGGTCATTTTCGACCCAAATGGAAATCTCATCTCCTTCGACGGTTTCCTTGCCTATATGAAAGGAGATGAAACCCTAACGACCAGTTGACGAGCGCCCATCAACTGACCTCATATCATCTATTTCATTTTCAGGCGAAATTGGACTCGGAGACAATCCACGTGTCAGATGCGACCCAACGCAGCGAACTGAGGATGATGGGAACTGATGGCGTGAAGTGAGGATGACGTGATGTGAGCATGACATGTGATATCGATTGCCGTGATGACATCATCACTCCCAAGTCGGCCTTGTAAGCCGATCGACCGGGGCAATGGACTTCCACTGGCTTCTCGCGAAGTCCTTGAGATGCCCAGCGAGATGTGGATGAGGAAAAGGCTTCATTGGACTCAACATTTTATTAACAAACTGCACTTATATGAAGAAAACCCTTCATATAAGTGCAGTTTGTTAATAAAATCAGCAAAGTCTAAATCGACAGCAAAAATTGACATGCCTTTTTGGCAACGCATCCGTGGCACGATGGGCAATTTTTTTTTCAATTGTAAAACACGAAACATCTGAGATGAAACCGTGCAGGAAATCTATTTCTATTTCGTTTCTGAGCAATATCATGAAACGATGGTCTCTGGAGAAATTTATGAAGTGTAATAAATACCAATTATGACCGACGATGTCGGTCATAATTGTCATATTCCAAGTCCTGCCTGGTTAGAGCAAAAAACATTTGAAAAAAAATTCCTTGTTGCATTTTCCTTCTCATCGAGCGAATCGTGTCGATCGGAGCTGAATCTTGCCCCGACATCATTAATCACCGACAGATGATTGGATTTGCATAGCGAGACTCGAGCTGGGGCACTTCCGCAGTTCCCCGGCCGATCGAATTCTTTCGGAAAGAAACATTAATCTAAGGCGTGTTTGTCGACTCTCAAAACCGGTGGAAACAGTTCCGTTCGCATGGATACATGGATTATTCCGCGGGGCCCGAACAGTCGGACTCGAGTTTTCCACGTCGACAGATGGAGACCTTCTGGCTCATCCCCGAAAGGGCCTTTGTTTTCTGCCTCACACTCGGAGGGGCCTTCTCCATGGAATTCCCCACGTTTCACGCCGTGCACCCCGGTCTCAAATACGACGCCGTGAGCGTCGAAACGTGGGAAGTGAGTCAGGTGATGTGCAGCATCCGGTGCGTGCTCCAGCATCCGACGTGCAGCGCGTTCAACTATCGGGAGACGGATGGGTCGTGTCAGCTCGTCACTGGGGGACTCAGCGACTTGGTCGACGACGGCGGGTTCAAGGCCTTCGCTCAGAGTGCCGCCTTCTGTTCTCAGCCTCGATTGCCCTTTTCAGTCGCGTTTTTTTTTACGAGGTGCGATTTAGGCAGGTGCAGAGGGGAATCGCGTGAACTGTGAGTCACATATGATTCGGGTCCATTCAATGAGGCGGGAAGGTCACTGAAGCTTCGAATGAGGTGTTTCGATTGCGGCGGCTCTCACCGACACAAAAAAAATTTAGAGAAAAAATAATTAAGTAAAATAAAAATGTACGTAACAATTTAAAGGACTCATTCAAAACTAATCCAAAAGAGAGAGGAAAAATTCGCGACTGAAAGGGTTCTGATCTGGACAGAAATATAAATCGCAAAAAAAAATTTAAATCGCAGTGCACTGCCTGAGAGATCACCCGATGATCTACGGAGCGAAGGCGGTGTACGAGCACGGCTGGAACGGGGAATACCCAGCACCAAAAGGAGCGATGGTCAGCCTCGTCTGCGAGAACCCTCAAGGATTTGTGGATGGCTCGAAGCTAGCCACGTGCGCCATCGAGAGGGCGGACATCTGGTACACGTCGAAGCCGTTCTATCGCCTCTACTGCAAAGGTACTCCCCTGGAGGTGGGGGTGTTGCTAATTCTCTTTCGAAATTTGCATGGTGTGATTTTTTGCAGCGAGTCCTTGCCGGAATGCGAAAGAGCGCGGGGCGAGGCGGGGCCGACGCAAGGGAAAGGACGGCCCGGATTGCGATGAGCCCGAGTCCGTTCCTCCCAATGCCCTCAAATTGGCATGTCTCAACTATTTGTGCACTTCTTTTATCTCGCGCTGCTAATAGTTTCCCACGATTCCGACATCGAAATCATCGATATTAGCGGATGCCAAAAGCTTCCTAGAGTGTTTTCGGTCTGGTCCAAGCTACCTCATAGCAAAGGAATGGAAGAAACCTTAAAAGTGAAGACAACATCAGTAGTTTTTTGCAAGATGAAAACCATTTTTTAATAAAACAATTTTCTTAATTTGTATTGTACTCCGAGGATAAGGTCTTGGAATTCATTCCACATCCAGTTGAAATTGCTCCGGAATTGTGGAAAAGCGCATTGGAAGCAGACTCGGAAGCATTAGAGCGGCTGCAGCGCGATGGAAAATATGTGTCCTTTCACTTTTTCATTTTCTCCTGCTGAATATTGTTTTATTATCTATTCTATATTACAAAACTAGTATTTACTACTAGCTTATTGGTTTAGTACAGCTTATTGGTTTGGAATGCCCCCCCCCCTTCCCTGTCTGCGCGTTTCTGGCACGTCGATCGTGATCACCCGCGATCACTCGCGATGGCGGCGTTTCCCAACGTATTAAAAGTCATTTTCCCAAAGAATCTCTTTAAAATACTTTACCTGATTATCTGATTATCATCACACCTGATTAATGATCATTAAAATTCCCTGGTTAAAGGAAAGTTTTAGCTTTTCGGCCCACGACAACTATAATTTTGCGGCAGTTTGAGATCTTCTCATGGAGACGATCCGAACGAGCTTCCTGGAGTCACGGCCTCTTATCTCTTGCAATTTCGCATATTTGCGCCGTGTGCAGGTGGAGCCGAAAGACCAGAAGCCGAAAGACCAGGAGCCGAAAGACCAGGAGGTGAAAGACCAGGAGGTGAAAGACCAGGAGGTGAAAGACCAGGAGGTGAAGGACCAGGAGGTGAAAGACCAGGAGGTGAAAGACCAGGAGGTGAAAGACCAGGAGGTGAAGGACCAGGAGGTGAAAGACCAGGAGGTGAAAGACCAGGAGGTGAAGCGACAGACGGAGGCGTGCTCCCTTCGCCCCTTCGGATGCGGTGAGTCCACGAACGTCATCCCTCTCGTTCCTCGGGTCTCGAGCTGAAAGTCGGTGATCGTCGCGTGCAGAGTCCATGACGGTCATGAGATACACCTGGCCCTGCCAAGAGTCCGACGGCTGCAGCAGCAACCATCGCGAGGTCTACACGATCTGGCCAGATCGAGTCGATCCGTTGGGAGAAATCCATGAGTAAGCTAGCAACTTCTTCCCTAAATCAGTAACATCATCCCAAAACCAGCAACCTCATTCATAAACCAGCAACCTCTTCCTGAACCAGCAACCTCACCCATAAACCAGCAACCTCACCCATAAACCAAGAACACCTTTGCTTCCCCCTCACCCACTGACTGAATGATAGTGATTTCCTTACCAGCGTAACCGGCGACGACAGCCAGGAGTTGATCGAGTCCATTCTCGCATTGTGGACGGGGAAGGAGAACGTAAGAATCTTTCAGGTCAATTATTTGGTATAAACAAATGTGCATTCAATTGATTAGCGAGTAATCGTTTTTTTGCGGCGTTTATTGAACGTAATTTTTGGGTAAACTTGCACGTCCCCAACATCTGGCATTTCGTACTCTTTCAGTGATTTCTTCCACATAGACAAGAGGAAATTGCGAATTCACAATAAGTGACGAAAAACGGGATGACTATTGGGAATAAATGTAAAGGTTTCACGACGCGAAAATTTATTACTAATGTTATCATTATATTAGTTTTAGCCGCGCGAAGCTTGACGAATGAAAATGCCTGCATCTTCGACGCATCACGGAGGTGACGCTGTTTCCTCTCAGCCTTTAACCCTGCCCGGAAAACGCAATTGCCCAGAGAATGCAATTGCAGAGAAAAGCAACTCCCCGGAGAACGCAATTACCGCGAAGTTGAGTTTCACGGATTGCATTCCCGTTGATCGGTCGATACCGAGTCAAACATTCACCTCGCTTTTACATGCCACCTTCGGATGAAATGTGGGCCCATGTGGGCTCATGTGGACTCATGTGGGCTCACCATCTCATAACGATGAACGCTCATTGATGCTCCCTGTTGAAGCCAGCACATTTTCAGCCGAACAAAGCAATTGAATGGGTTAATCAGAAAAATAAATAAATACATTTTCCGTGCGCCTTCTGAAAGCGGAAGTTCAGATTAGATTCGGATTAGATTCGGAATAGATTCGGATTAGATTCGGATTAGGTTTAGATGAGTCTCAGGAAAATAGGGTCGGTGGTATGCTAATTATGTTAATGAAAGATGGCATATTTTTGTGGGACAGGAGGGTAGTGCCGATGCGACGAGCAAGGAATTCGTCTCCTACCGCTGCTCATTCAGACCCCTGTATGCACAATTGACAAGCAATTGCCAAGGAGACAATTGACAGATCCACACGTGCTGAAGAGGAAAATGTGTTTTTTTTTTTCACTCAGCGAGAACAAATCCGGAAAGCCGGCGAACCTGGCGGGGAAAAGCAAGGAGGAGATGGCGTGCTTGAAGGAGTCCATGGCTTTTAAAGGCCATTGCAAGTCCATCACGTCGAGCGCTCCGGTTCAATAGCTCCGTGCCCTCGTGGGGATCGCTAGGGATCGCTAGGAATCGCTGGGGATCGGGAGTTTTCTTCGCTTCGTGGGGATTCGGGGCTTTGCTGTGTTTCCTTGCACCTGGTTTCAGGTTCTCTTCCTGGAAAATCCACAGTGGCACGGTCGGGCCAATCGGACCGATCGGACCGATCGGACCGATCGAACCGATCGAGCCAATCGATCCGCACTTGCATACGTTTGGACTGGGATGATTGTGAGGGATTCATTTTTAGGGTTTCATCCCTGCGTTTCTTCTGTTCCCGTTCTTCCTGAAAATTTTAATGAATAAAATAATACAATTATTAGGAAGTGCATGTTCCCGATAGCCAAAATTAACGACTTAAAATAAAGCTAACATTGATTAAAATTGGGAAATATCATCAAAAAGCAGATTTTAATCGAACTTAAATCTCATTTGCTTTCTCGAGAAACATCTTGTCTGCTTTCGCCATGAAAACTTTTGTTCCTTGCCACCTTGCGCGGTTCCAGAATAAAAATTGGTTGGCGTGAGCCAAAGAAAAAATGAGCCAAAGAGACTGCTTCCTTTTTTTCGCCTTCCGGCGACACTGTCCGGGTTTCTTTGTCGTATCAGCGAGAGGAAAATAAATAAATAATTCATTATTTGATGCAGCAATTAATTCATGGCGAGGATTTATAATCAGTTGAAATTCGCCCCATTTCGGTTAAATTTGCATGAAGTTGCCGATTCCCAAAAAATCGAGAAGTTTTAGTACGCAATTTAGGAAGAAATTTGATGGAGAAAGCCAAATGAAAATAAAATTCTCGAATTTTGTTATTGACAAAAATTATGAAGAAAATGAAGAGACTTCGCAAGCAATGAATGCTTGAAGCGCGGACAGACGAGCAGAGATCATCGAGGTTCATCGAGGCTCATCGTGTTCCGAAACGAAATAGCCAACCCTCGCGAAATTTAAATCGAATTTGAATATTGTTTCTAAAACTTCAAATACATAGGAAAACTTGTTTTTGTCCATCCGAAATAATTTTGTACCCTGAAACAACCTTTATCAACTTATTGGAAGCGTATGTTGGTTCGTTACTCATAATTTACTTCTTACCAGTCACTTATTATTATTACGATTAAGTTATGGAAAATTATTTGTAATTCGTCAGCGTATCATGAATGCCTCATCCTCTAATCCCTCCACGCGACTCACGAGTCGTCTCGGCAGCCGACACGAATTCATCGACACGAATGGCCGCGGGGATCCAGGTTTTCCCTCGGCGAATGCCCTCCGACCGATGATCGATGCTCTCGGCATCAAATATTGAGGGCATCGATCCCGCAAACGATTCTCGCTTCCCACGTGGCTTTTCCGACGCCTTTGTCGCCTTTACGGTCTTGTTTTCTGGATATTCCAAAACCCTAAATAACACATTTTTTCCCAAAACCCAGCAAATTGCGAGATTTTTTTTTTACTTTGTTGGTTTTTTTAATTCCTAGTTCATCTATAAGCAAATGATGAGAGTTTCATTTACCCAATCACCATGGCTTAATGTGAGCTTTACGTAATGTCAACTTTACGCTATGAAAGGCCGTGGCTGCCGAAAGCTCCGGGTGCATTGCCTGGATTTCATTTTTTTTTAAACATATTGTCAGTCTTTTTCTGTTTTCCTTCCTACGAACGCAGTTGAACCTGGCTTCATTAATCGTCGCCGAGCAAATGCGAGCTTTGTTTGCACGGCGAGCTGCCACGCTCTGGGTCGGAAATTTTCTCTCGGGATCCAACTCCCATTCCGAGGAATCCCGTCTCGATGAACTCGGGAAGGAAAAGCAGCTGGTCACGGGAGTACATCCATTTTTTTTTCTGATATCCGAAGAACCGAAACGATGAACTCTGTCTCCCATTACCTTTCACTTCCCATTACTTCGTCCACTTGGGGTAAAAGTATGCGAATGTCGGCATGAAGTCCTGGGAAGCAAGGAAGAATGCAGCACCAGATGCATTCGCTCTGAGTTCGCGTGAGTTCGCCTGAGTTCGCTTGTGTTCGCCTGTGTTCGCTTGTGTTCGCCTGTGTTCGCCTTGCACGCGATAGCGCTCGGACGGATCCTGCCAATTGGTCATGGAGGCGTCATGCGGTTTCAACTCCATTATTTTCTCAATGTATTGGGGAAACGAATGAGTTTGATTTGAATTGGAATCGGAGAGATTGCCTGAGAGATGACCCCGCGATCGAAGGCGGTCTACGAGAACGGCTAAGAGAACAAATGTCCAGAATACCGCGTGAGACGCGACGACGCACATGGGGTCTATTACAAGGGTCTCTATGAGGGGAGAACTGCGCATGATGACGTCAACTTCCCCCCCCCCCGCGATTAGGGGGAAAAGGGGGGAGGGGGAAACGAGGGGGGGTGTCCTACGAGTGCAATCGACCAGCGGCGATTGTCCTGCAGTTTTCGTGGAAGAGCCGGGGACGCACTCGACAAAAGGCGTTTTTACGCTTTTCCTTCATTGTTTTCTCAGGAGATTCGCATCGTCTTCGTTACTCGTCGTGGTTCGGGCCGCGGAAATGTGTAGATGATGATTCCCCTAACAGATTCCCCCCCCCCCACCCCCACCCCCAAGAGACTCCCACGCTTCCAAGATTTAGCCACGCGGATTGCCAACATCTCCCCGCGTTCTGCCGCAGTTCTTGACGAGGCGGTTCCCCGTTTCGGGCCGTGGTCCTCCGGAAGGTCCACGTTCATGAATATTTTTAATTCCCGATGAAACCACTTCCCACCTTGACAAATATGCCACAATGGCACGTGTTTGAGACGTCTGATCGAAGTTGCCCCTCGGCCCCTCGAGCATTTCCTTCCACGAATGAACGCCTTCCCTCGATATCAGGAAATGCATGGCCTTTGGACGCAGATCGGCACCGCACTTTCCGAATCGAGAGAAATTCCAGGATTCGGTGTTTCTCTGTGAAGTACTTGAAGTAGTCCCAATGATTTCTATGTATTTTCGTGAGTATTTGAAGTGATTCGCGGATCTCGTGGCATTCACGGTCTCTCTCTGAAAAATGAATGCGAACATCGAGGAATCGATATTTATTAGGTGTCGATTATGTTCCAGGTGCCGGCCGGGGATCTCGAGGCGACGCCGGTCTCACGAAAGGCAAGGTCGTTAATGACGGAAGAACCGTCGCAGACCGACTCGGAGCGAGAGCGCGATTCCCCGCGCGACTGAGCCGTGGAGAGAAATAGAAAACGCGACGCGACCTCGGAACGACTCCGTCTCCGAGTCTTCCGAAGGAAAGCAGATGGAAACATTTATGCGCCTAGGGTCGTGCTTGGGTGAGAATTGCACCTGGCCCAGCACGGTGGATTCTCGAATGAAAGGCCATACGGAACTTTTCAGCTAATCCCTTAGACTTGGAACTTCTAACACATATCCACTTCTCTAAGAATTAAAAAAAAAAAGAGTAATAAACACAAGGCCAATCGCAGATGCCACAAAGGGGATGAGTGGGTCAAGGTCACAAACTGCTAATAGTAATGTGCTCGATCGCCAAGCTGCACAAAGGGTAACCTCAGACTCCCTCGTTTAGGCCTGACAGCCTTACACTAATTCCTTTAGCAGGCGCGTTGCCATACACTTTGCAGTCCCAAATGTGGGACTCAAACGGCTTGTGTAGCTGTCGGATGTTCTCGTAGTTATTAGAGGTCATTAGGTTATTAAAGGCCATTAGGCTATTAGAGGTCATTAGGTTATTAGAGGGGAATTTCTTGACCCAGTCTCCGGTGCGTGCCAACAGAACTATCACTTCGTCTCGATACAAGCAGAATCCCATCATTCTGCAGATTTTTCGCCCCCGGTCAGTTTTGGCTCATTGCACCAAGTGGGATATGCCGAAAGAGAAGGAAAAAGAAGGAGATGGCTCGAGTACATTGAAGTACTTTGGTGTCAACCAGGCGGAACGAGGACCGCGGAAACCATGCATAAAGCACCCTTCTCAGGTTGCTTGTATTGGGTGCTAAGGATGACTTAATCCGTCTCATTCATCACACGATATTCATTTGTCGCGCAAGACTAGGATTGGGCTAACCTAGAGCCCATGATGGAACAATATCCTCATTTCCATTTATTTTTGCATATAAAATGTCACATTTCTCGTAACATCTTTGCACATTTACAGTCGTTTGATCTGTGCATGGGGATGAGGTTCGGAACGATCTTCCACAACGACTGTTCAGTGCGACAAAAGTAGTTTTCTAAGTTGACACCCAAGTAAAAGGTAGGCGATAGCCCACCACCGTGATTAAGTCGTGGGCAATCTGCCGCCTGTCCCGGTTGCCAGCGCTGCCCCGCCACCTTTCGGACCGATAGAGGATCGGCACGTTTACAGGTCGCTCATTGGTGGTGCGCTACCAGCTCGGAAGAGAACTAATGCCCCCATGAATATTCGATTGGCTTCTACGAGAGTCGGCACGAAAGTATTGCCGAATCATATGCTGTCCCCGCAAGATGTAACCGGAGATATATATGCAAATGGACGGGTTCGGCGACTTCAAAATCGCCCTGTATTTTGTATAAGTTATCTCATGCACTCTTGACCATTCCCGATTCCGTATACAATTTCGTATTCCATCCTTAACTCTACATCTAATATTCCTCAGTCATGTTACAGTAAATAAAGTACATCATACTTCCACGCTTTCCTCATTTATCTGTTCGTGCATTGTAATATAGATGGAGGAAAGAGGGGAAGAACGCTTTGCTAAATCAGGAAGGTAGGTCTGTAATTGCATTTGAAGAGTACGAGGAACATTGGTGCCATAGGTTGAGAACACTTAGTACTGCATCGAGAGGAATGCCAAGTACATGATGGGAAGAGAGAAGGGGCCCTTCCACCCACAGTTGGCAGTGGGACGCGAACGGCACGTCTCGCTTCCCGCCACGTTCCCGTCTCCGCCAGAAATCCAGCAG